GTCCAACTGGTATTCAATATCACTTGTGTGTGCGTGCCTTTCCTTGGCTGGGTATGTCAGGAGGATTTTGGTGATGCGGAGGCAACTGGTGAGCCAGGAGCTGCAGATGCGGATGATATCGACGATGACTGGGGCGAAGAAGATCCGTAAAGATTCTGATTATGTCACAAATGGGTACTGGGCAGATGACCAACAGGAATGACTGGACCAACAATGGTGATTTGTATCTAGCAAGGGTGGTGGAGTGGAGGACATGGTACCACTTCCAGCAATACCACACAGACCTCTGTGCTTGTGGGGAGCATGTAACCATAGATATTTGATACAGGTGGGAAAGAATCAATGCTTGGAATGGGACTGAAATATGAGACTGGTCTTCTGGGACGGCATTTACTAAACCAGGCAACCAACCAGAATATGTACCGTACTACGGTGTGGTGATGCAGGGCACAACCTTCCAACATCATGTTGCAACATTGGTGTCATATTCACTGAGCTTCCTACCATAGTAACAAACAGGATGGGATTGCAAGCAGTGCAGATACACTTCATTAGGGGCACACCCTTCTACAGAGTAAGACACATAACAGCTCATCACCTTGCACTAAGGTGGCCGCACGAGTCGGCCATTGGGGTCCCGGTTCCACAAACCCTTGAGCTCAATAGTGCAGTTACTCAGTGGGGTGCACAGATAGTAGAAGCATGCAGGCTGTGACATCTCAGCCTCCAATAACCTCCCTTGAGCATCCTGCCATGCCTGGATAGCGCCAGCTTTCCATTTAATGTCAGCGTCTGAACTGCATGGTGCATGGGCCTTAGATTGAACAGCCCGAGCGACTCCCATGTAGGTGAGTCCGAGTAAGACGTAGCCACACATGAGACAACCACCAGCAGCCTTAGAAAGTGAATAGAAAATGTTAGAGCCTTCTCTCCATTCGCAGGTAAAGTCGTCAGTTAATTTTAGGCTGGAAACGATGGATCGCACTGAACACTGGGCACCTGAAGGGAAATGACTGAATGAGAACACTAGTTGACTGATTCTTCACACCAATAAATTCCTGGCCCTGCACATACCATAGACTGTACTCATCGGCCAAAAGCTTTCCGTAAGCTCTTTTCCAGCGCACATCGGTAGAGGAGCAGGACTATCAAACAGAAGCACAAGCTCACTAGTCTCTGGCAACGCTGCATGAATTTCGTTAGTACAAGTCGTCTTTCAAGAATACAAACGAAAGGACTTACAGATCGTTGACAGAGGCATTTCTTCCTCGGGGTCAATGTCTCTCTCGTCAATGTCCAACCGTTGGACGCCCATGACTGGAAAAGGAAAAAACATTAAGAGGGTGCTGACGTCGTCACAAATATCATAGCAGGAGAGACGAGCATACCTGGGAAGGTATGTCTGATGACGTGTGTTAATTGACTTCCGCGTGGAATTCGGACTGTCAGTGTGCCTCGTTTTGACGGAGATTGAAAACCGCCATACTTGAAGGCGTACGAGCTCGTCTTGTTCATTTCCAGAGACCAGCTCCATCTCTAAAAACGGAAAAACCGTTATGAGATCTTATTAGAGAAAATTCTGTGTAAAACAAAAAGAAGCCGAACCTGTCCTTCAATGTCGACTCGAAGATGAACGATTCGGGGTTGTGAGAGAAAGGTTGTACCCAAGGTGACATTCCTGCAAGGAATGCATGGGGTTAAAACAATCGTTGCGTCGCTTGTAACTGGAAGGGATGGCGGAAATACCATACCCGAACAGTAAAAAGGCCGGGCCCTGCTTTTGCGGCTCGGCACTGCTGGCAGCGACGACATGAAGAGTTGCAGATTGGAAACATAGCATCAATGCGAACACCACGGCTATTCCAACTTCGTACGCTAGAAAGTGCTTCATTGCGTTGCATACAACGGTAACAAGAGAGCGCAGTTGCAAGATGACGGTAACTATGTACCGGCTACGTCCTTGGATCAGTGCACAAGGTGAACATGGATTATTCTGTGGTCTGCTCAAGTTTTGGAAGGTATAGGGGAGCTACAGATCACGCATGAGCCAATCCCACTCACAGTTTTCCTCGTGAGATTGTCGAAGAAAAAATCTGAAGAGCGTGTTGCTCCCGAAAATTTGCAACACCAACCTGAAATTTGTTTCATGCAGGATGGTTACCAAATAATGCGAAAGCGGCCACACAAGTTGGGAAAACCGTCGCGATACAATTGTCCATCTTTTCATAATTCGCAAACAATCACAGGTCTGTAACGAAAACGCTTGGTACGTTGGAAACCTGGCGGTGCTTCCGTACCATTGAATAAGCCCGCAGGACCTTCCCCTTCTCTACCCTGAACCCCAAACCTCTCACGTGGATGAATCACATTTCCCTAGTGTCTTCAATCTTCCTGTTCTAGGTGTTTAACTTGCAGTTTCTCGATACCATCAATCTAGCCGTGACTTCCGTCAACAATCCGCCCTAGCAATTGCTTCTTTCACGATGCGGGTCAGGCCTGCGATCGGACGGCTATCGGAGGATTTGCTCTCCCAGATCCTCCACCTCGTTGGCGAATCCGGCAGCTATTTCCAGCACGCTCTCGTTTCTAAGGAATGGCATCGCATTGCTCGTCACGTCCAGGATTACATTCACTTGCAAGAAGACCGTCGCATGAGTCCGCGTCAACTGCTTTCCGAACTCTCGTCGTTCCCTAGCCTCACGAGGCTCGTCCTTCCATCCGGTAGCCTCATCTCCATCCCGGACTTTTTCCTCACCCGTCTCGCCGACACGTGTCCAGATCTGCTTCAGCTTCACATTGAATCAACGGATCAGACTCACAGAGGGAAGGGTTTCACCGAGGAAGGCCTTTCCGCGCTTCTCGAGGGTTGTGCTCGTCTGGAGGAGCTTCATCTGGATTGCCCTCTCCGTCTCACCGCCATTCCGCCTTCCATCGGCCGTCTCGCTTGGCTCAGGGATCTGCATCTCACTTCAAGCAGCGTCACTCACCTTCCTGACAGTATCACCTCGTTACAGTCACTCGAAAACCTAGCGCTGCACATGGACTCCCTTCAAGAGCTACCTCCGGTTTTCGGCAACTTAATATCTCTAGAATCGCTGCGCCTAGAATCTTGCGGGCCTCTCACGTCACTCCCGGAATCCATTGGGCAACTTGCGAATCTAGACCATCTATATATCAGCGGCGCCAGCAGGCTTCAGCTTCCGGCTTCCCTTTGCAATCTCTCATCTCTGGTGGTCCTCGAGATTCACAAGTGCCAGGATCTTTCGCCGCTGCCCGAGAATCTCGGTCAGCTGCAGGCGCTCGAAATTTTACTTCTGGACGAGGTGATGGGCCTCACCGATCTACCAGAGTCTCTCGGGCAGCTGCAGCGGCTGCGGCTCCTGCAATTGATTGGTTGCTTCGGTATTATGTCGCTGCCCGGATCCCTGACTCGTGTGTCGTCCCTCACGGGTCTCAACCTGGTCGTCCCAACACTTTCAGCACTGCCCGATGACATCGGGCAGCTATCGAATCTTCAAAGCCTCATGCTGGATGCTCAGAGCCTTACAAGCCTTCCTGCTTCCATCTCTCTGGCCTCTGCACTCCGAGAGCTGGCCATTGACGGTCTCCGAACTATTACATCGCTGCCCGAAGAATTCGGGCAACTGACGGCTCTCGAGTCCCTCCGCCTGGCCAACCTTCCACAGCTCACTCTTTTGCCCGAATTTCTCGGGAACTTGACGAATCTTGATGAGTTGAAAGTGGTGAAGTGCGCGCGGTTGCAGCAGCTGCCCGAATCTCTATCTCGGTTAACTGCCCTCGAAAAGCTGGATCTGAGTGATAACCGGAGGCTCACAGCTCTACCAGTCGGCATGGGAAACGGCCTACAGAACTTACGAGAATTCCTTCTACTTCCTTGCAAGGCCCTCACTCACCTCCCTCCATCCTTCTCCTGTCTCTCGTCGCTTGAAACCCTAAGAATCTTGAATGCAGAGAGCTTCAGAGGGCCTTTACCTGAGAGCTTTGGCTGCTTGAAAAGCCTTAAGGAGCTCTGGCTCTGCTCCATGCCGCACCTTTCAGCCTTCCCGTCGCCTCTACCCGGCCTCTCTCGCACACTCACCAGCATGGTAGTGGCAAACTGTCTGGAAATAAAGGATCTGCCGCTGGAGATCGGACGGCTGGAAGCGCTCGAAGAGCTGACAATCTCGAATCTGCACGGTCTGGAATCTTTTCCGCAGTCGCTGTTTCAGCTGCCCAGATTGCGGATGCTAGACGTTCTGGCGTGCACAGGGCTCTCGACTTTGTTTGGGGATGAAACGCCAGGAGCAGCTGAGCAGGAGCTAGGAGAGGGTTCCACCTCTGTGAGCAGCTTGCATGGCAGCAGCCGTTCCAGTCCAAACGGCAGCAGCAGCGGCAGCAGCCTGAGCAGGAGTGCTGATCACCTGCTGCTTCCATCTCTGCAAAAGCTTAAGCTGGAAGTTCTTCCCTTTAAAGCCTTTGGCCCGTCCCTGGGCCGTCTCTCCTCCCTGACAAGCCTAGAGCTATCAGACATGCAGGCGCTGCTCACTCTCCCAGAATCTATCGCTGAGCTGTCAAATCTGCAAGAGCTTGTTATTACTCGTGCAGGCAGTCTCGAGACCTTGCCAGACCCGATAGGAAGCCTTCCCAGGCTTGTCACGCTGCAGCTGGTTGGGCTTGAAAACTTGCGTGAGCTGCCCGAGTCTTTCGGGCAGCTGAGCATGCTCCAGTCACTGAAAATCATGGATTGCGCAAAGCTGGCTCGGCTTCCAAGAAGCTTCCCTAACCTGTCCAAGCTGACATTTTTTTCCCTTACCAGATGCCCGCTGATCTCATACATTCCAGAGGATTTTTGGCATCTTTGCTCCCTTGAGAACCTGGTCTTGATCTTCCTGCCGAACCTTGAGAGCCTGCCCGAATCGTTTTCGCAGCTGCCCCGGCTGGAGGAAGTGAAGCTGTGGTACTGCGAGCGTCTGCGGCAGCTACCGTCTTCTCTTTCGAAAATGCAAAGATTGATTCAGTGCAACATCCGCGAGTGCCCCCTGCTTTCGGACCGAAGGACTCGGGTGATTTATGGGAGGGGGAATATGGAAGAGGGAGAGGAGGGAGAGGGAGGGATGGAGGGCGCGGAGGGGTTTGCTACAGGGGAGGAAGGAGATCAAAATGATGAAGAGGATTCGGAAGATGATGTAGAGGATTCGGAAGAAGGCGAGGAGGAAGAGGATGAAAGTGACGAGGATGAGGATGGGGATGAGGATGAGGATGATGACGACGAGGACGGCAATGAGGAAGAGGATAGTGAGGATGGAGATGGGGGAGATGAGAGCGATGAGGACGACGAGGGAGATGTGGGAGATGGTGCTGCATAGGAGGGCCTTCTTTCCATACCGTAACTCTGAATTTGACAGGCTGAGCTGATTGTGTGCTGATTTGCTGAATCAAAAGTTTCTGGTAATAAGGTAGTATCAATGATAACTCACAGATATATTGTGTATGAGTGTGGGATTTCATATGGATCTTGGATTTGGAAAAAGGCTACTAACACGGTTGTCACCAACATGTAAACATACAATTGCTATATCCTCTCCACCCACGCCAAAAATGCTGACCCAAATATGTACGCCAACCGCTCTGACACGCAACACACCACAGCAAACCGCATCAGGAGCAACTCTTGGCCTCTGGGTGTTCCATTCACAGGGGAATCACAGGCAAGAGAGGCGGCAGCAGATCACTACACCGTGTAGGAGCTCTTCAGTGACGGAAGGTCATATGGTAGCACGCCGCTCACTAGCTTGATATACCGTAGGAACGCAACTGTAATGTAGCGGCGTCGTCGCACCGCTCCTACCGGCACATCGTACTGCTGTCGTTTAGTACAACGAACGGCTAACCGTCTTTCGACGTCATGCTCCGCCATGTGGTAGCTCGACAGCGGCAACTGGCGAGAGCCGCGACTGTCGCCGTGTCTTCAGCCTCGTCTTCCGCCGCACTTCCCGCGATCCCGTCAGCCTCGTCCGCCGCTGCATTCGGGAGTTGCACTTTCAAGATCGCGTCGTCATTTTCCACGTGGCGAACGATTGTCTTGCCACGTGTCTCCAACCTTGTACGTTTTTCTGTGAGTTTAACGTGTGCTCGTCAAGACTCTCCTCGTGCTGCCAAATCCGCATAGCAAACTATCAGAAAGTATAGTTCTGATGTCACACCAGCAGTGGATGCAGCAGGTCGCTTTCGAGAATTCTCTAATTAAAGAGGTCGATTTTTGTAGGAAGTTCAAACGATGGTGTGCTTACGGAAGTGAATGGAGCAGCCAATAGGGGGGATTTTTCACGGTTAGAGAAAATGCAAGGGAAGGTTTCAGAAGGTAGCTTTGGGGATCAAGTAAGACAGGGCAGGTATGGAAGTTGCAAGTAAGATTTATTTTGTATAAGTTTCACTCTCGTCGGACAATAATATTCCCACTTCGGAGGTCCTTTCTGCTCCTGCCTGTCTTCTTCCCCCCTCCCCCTACCCCCTTTTTTCGCCACGGTTCCCAATCCTCCGCTTCCCACCGCTCTCCTTCCCAGTCCGCTCAAAACCCGCTGTCCTGCTAGGCATTCCGTCCATACCATAACAACCAGCCAACATTATTGGCAATACAAACTCATACTCATGCCCCGCCCTCATGCAACATTATTGAGACGTCAATATAATAGAAGCTCATACTCGTACCTCACCCTCTCTCCCCATTCCCACCGCCATCCCCATTGCGCTTTCGGTTGCCATTGCCGTCACTATTGCTACACCAGACAGGAGCCGAGTTTTGAGGAGCCTAAAAAATAGAAGCTCATACTCATACCTCACCCTCTCTCCCCATTCCCATCTATCCCCATCGCCATTTTGTTTGCCATTGCCTTCACTATTGCTACAGCAGGCAGGAGTGGTTGGCACGAAAAGCTGTTCCTCTCCCATCTCATCCTCCTCTCTGATCACTAGCCATGGCCTTGCCACGTCAGCCTCATTCACGCCAGCTGCTGCAGCCACGTCAGCCACGTCCACACCAGCTGCTGTTGCAGCCACGTCAGCCTCATTAACATCAGCATCACCATCATCATCAACAGCAGCAGCTGGAGCAGGAGGTGCGGTGTCAACAGGGGGGGTTGGAGTCGCAGCAGCTGGGGAGCCGGGAGTGGGGAATGGGAGGATCCGGGTGAAGACAAAAGCGCTGACGAAACAAGCAAAGCACATCATGAATGTGAGTCAAATGTGAACATGCAGCACTGAGCATGCATGCATGCAACATGCAGCATCCATGCACCATCAAGCATGCAGCAACAGGAGAGCGGAGTGGGGAGTGGGAGGTTTCGGTTGAAGACAAAGCGCTGACGAAACAAGCAAAGCACATCATGAATGTGAGTCAAATGTGAACATGCAGCACTGAGCATGCATGCATGCAACATGCAGCATCCATGCACCATCAAGCATGCAGCAACAGGAGAGCGGAGTGGGGAGTGGGAGGTTTCGGTTGAAGACAAAGCGCTGACGAAACAAGCAAAGCACATCATGAATGTGAGTCAAATGTGAACATGCAGCACTGAGCATGCATGCATGCAACATGCAGCATCCATGCACCATCAAGCATGCAGCAACAGGAGAGCGGAGTGGGGAGTGGGAGGTTTCGGTTGAAGACAAAGCGCTGACGAAACAAGCAAAGCACATCATGAATGTGAGTCAAATGTGAACATGCAGCACTGAGCATGCATGCATGCAACATGCAGCATCCATGCACCATCAAGCATGCAGCAACAGGAGAGCGGAGTGGGGAGTGGGAGGTTTCGGTTGAAGACAAAGCGCTGACGAAACAAGCAAAGCACATCATGAATGTGAGTCAAATGTGAACATGCAGCACTGAGCATGCATGCATGCAACATGCAGCATCCATGCACCATCAAGCATGCAGCAACAGGAGAGCGGAGTGGGGAGTGGGAGGTTTCGGTTGAAGACAAAGCGCTGACGAAACAAGCAAAGCACATCATGAATGTGAGTCAAATGTGAACATGCAGCACTGAGCATGCATGCATGCAACATGCAGCATCCATGCACCATCAAGCATGCAGCAACAGGAGAGCGGAGTGGGGAGTGGGAGGTTTCGGTTGAAGACAAAGCGCTGACGAAACAAGCAAAGCACATCATGAATGTGAGTCAAATGTGAACATGCAGCACTGAGCATGCATGCATGCAACATGCAGCATCCATGCACCATCAAGCATGCAGCAACAGGAGAGCGGAGTGGGGAGTGGGAGGTTTCGGTTGAAGACAAAGCGCTGACGAAACAAGCAAAGCACATCATGAATGTGAGTCATTGCGAGCATGCAGCATTGCACCCAGCCAGCATGCAGTGTCTCCCTTCCCCCGCTGATCCTGGATAAAGAGGCCACATGTTCTCTGTGCCAGCCAGGAGCGCAAAACATCCCTCCCCCTCCTTCCTCCTCCCTTCCCCCCTTTCCCCCCCTCTCCACCCCCCGCCATCCTCTCAGCCTGATTTTTTTTTATCTCGTTTCCCTTTCCCGACCCCAATCCGTTCCCCCTTCCCATCCCCCTCTTCTCCCAAATCCTCAATGCAGAGGCCATAGATTCACTGCGCCAGGAGCGCAACATTTTCTGTCCTTCCTCTTCCCCTGTTTTCCACTTCAAACTCTTCCTTCCCCCTCTCAGATTCTGCATGCAGAGGCTCTGGATTCGCTGTGCCGGAACCTCAGCGTTACTTTTCCCCATGCCCCCCTTCCCCCTTTTCCCCCTTCGTTGCATACCTTCCCCTTCCCCTTCTCAGCTCCTGGATGTAGTAGAGGGGACTGGTTAGCTGCGCCAGGAGTACCACCCCTCCTTCCCCCAATTTCTCTCAACTTCCCCCAATTTCTCTCCCCCTCTCCCCCCTCCCCCAACCCTTCCCCTCCCCTTCTCAGCTCCTGGATGCAGAGGCGACCGGTTAGCTGCGCCAGGAGTACCACCCCTCCTTCCCCCAATTTCTATCCACTCCCCCCCCCTCTCCCGCCCTCCCACAACTCTTACCCCCACCCACCCCCCCCCATCCCTCCCTCCCTCCCTTCCCCCCTGGCCCCGCAGATCCTCGATGCAGATGCGACCGGTTCGTTGCGTCAGGAATGCAACGTTAATTCTCCTTCCTCTTCCCCTACCACACTCCCATGCCTCTTTCCCCCCGCACCCCCACATCCTCGATGCAGATGCCACGGGTTCGCTGCGCCAGCCAGTCGTGCAATATGCCAGGTCCAAATCTGGAGACGATCACTTGTTCATGCTTGTACAAGCTTCGTTTGATTCCGTATTCTTCCACCCGCCCCGCTCTTCCCTCCTCCCCTCCTCCGCCTCCTCCCTTCTCCCTCCTCAGATCCTGGATGCAAAGGCCACAGGTTCCCTGCGAGAGCATCGAAACATGCCCTTTCCTCCCCCCTCCCCTCGTTTCCCGCCGTTAACTTGTCTTCCCTCCTCCCCTCCGCCTCCTCCCTCCACCTCCTCCCTCCTCAGATCCTGGATGCAGAGGCCACGGGTGCCCTGCGAGAGCATCAAAACATGCCTTTTCCTCCCCCCTCCCCCCGTTTCTCGCCGTTAACTTGTCTCCCCTCCTCCCCTACGCCTCCTGCCGCTCCTCCTCCGCCTCCTCCTCCTCCCCCGCCTCCTCCCTCCTCAGATCCTGGATGCAGAGGCCACGGGTGCCCTGCGAGAGCAACGGAACATGCCAGACTTCAAGCCAGGGGACGTGCTCTCCATAAAGATTGTACGTGCTTTGAGACTCATATCATGTGCTTAGCTCTTTGCCCAGGTAGCCCTTGTAATGAAGGGCTTGTGTGCCATCCATGAAGATTGTACGTGCTTACTTTTGAGGTATTGTGCTTGTAAAGCAGGAAAATTGGTAACCGTCTGCTTGTGGGCTTGTGCTTGAGCCTGGCTGGTGCTCGAGCCAGCAGCAGCAGGACATACCACACTTGAAGCTGGACGTGTTCTCTCCTTCTTGATGATTGTACGTGCTTGTATGTGAAGGTTTGTGCTTGTAACGCAGGAAAACTGGGAGAGATGTTTGCACTGACAGTGAAGTGTTTGTGTGCTAGTACTTCTGAGGCGCCTCGAACGGGTTCGTGTGCTAGTACTGATGTCTGCTGGCTTCAGCTCCACATTGCTCCTTCATCCTCACACCCGCCCCCATCCTCCTTCCCCCCCTCTCCCCCTCTCTCCCAGGAGGTGCACAAGAACAAGCGGCACACGTCGATAGTGAAGGGCATCGTCATCGCTCGCAGGAATGCCGGCATCGGCCCCACGTTCCTTCTTTCCCCTCACATCACACCCAAACCCACCCCAGGTCCCCTTCTGTCTCCCTTTTCCAGGAGGTGCCTGAGAACAAGCGGCGCACTTCGATTGTCAAAGGCATCGTCATCGCGCGCAGGAACGCCGGCGTCGGCTCCACTTTCCGCATCCGCCGCATGCTGGCAGGCGTCGGCGTCGAGATGTCCTTCCCTCTGTGAGTCCCTTTGTGTGTGGGTGTTAGTGTGCCTTGCGTCACTTTAATCAGGCCTGCTAGATCCTCATCCTCTCTACCGGCATCGGCTCCACATTCCGCATTAGCCGCAAGCTGGCAGGCGTGCGTGGGGGTCGAGATGTCCTTCCCTCTGTGAGTTTCTTATTGTCTGCTTGTTTGTGCCTCGTGTCACTTCAAACACCAGTAGTGCTAGTTACTTGTGTGCCGGCATCGGCTCCACATTCCGCATTCGCCGCATGCTGGCCGGCGTGGGCGTCGAGATGTCCTTCCCACTGTAAGTCTCGTACTGTTTCAGTGTCAGTGGCATGTGTCACTTTCTGCACCATCAGATGCCGCTGTGCTGACATCGGCCCCCTCTGTGAGTGTCTGAGTGTGAGAGTTTTGGATGCTTCTGCCACTTTCTTCTGTGCTCACACTGCTGAGTGTGAGAGTTTTGGATGCTTCTGCCACTTTCTTCTGTGCTCACACTGCTGTTCATTGTTTGTGCCACATGCCGCATTAGCATACGGACATTGCTAGCATGGTTGGCACTTGCTGGTAGGCTTGGGGCATGAAATGGTATTCAGCTGAAGTGTGAATGCTTTTTGCTCCTTCTTAGAACCGATTACATTAGCGGTGTGTGTTGCTCATGTTTTCGTGAGTCCTATGATGGCTGTTCTGTTTGTCTTCTCATCTGCTGCACCTGCTTGGCATGGCACCGTGTTTACAGCTGATATGGTGTTTCTAGGATTCCATTCATAGTTGATGACAGTTTGTCAAACAAAAGTACTGTACCAACTCCCCGGCTCTGTATTGTTTTTACTTTTCCTGGCCACAGGTACTCTCCCAACATCAAGGAGATAACGGTGATAGGAACTCGGAAGGTCAGGAGGGCGAAGTTGTATTATCTGAGGGACAAGGTCGCCCGTATGTCTGCTGTTTAAGGATGGATCTCTGAAGGAATTGAAGGAGTTCCAGCTATGCGCATGAGGTTATGGCATATTGGGTTTATGTACCGTTCGTTTCTCAATAGCACCTTGAATCATGTGACGAAGACACTGCAATCGAGTCCTACGAAACCTCCATGCCATCTCGTCCAACCCGGCGGATCGCCTGCACCCTGCCAGGCGTCGGTCTGCCACGCACTCGCCACGCAATCTGTCCCTCCCTTCCCTTGTCCGCCATCTCAACAATATCTTCAAGGCAGCACCGACGGTGGTGATGGGGCTAGCTCTTGTTGATGGAGGAGTTCCTAGCGGCGATCCGACGACTCTTGTTTCGCCGTTCTAGAAAGCCGTTTAGCCTATTGTCAAGGCGGTTATTAGAACCTAGAGTGTGTCGCCGCGCGGTGAATGTTGTTGACCCCGCATGACAGCCGCGCGTGTCGGAAGGGCCCCACGTGGCGGGCACAAACCAAACTCCGCGGCCCTTCGAGCCGCTTGGCGGCAAATTACCATCAGTTCATCCTCACGCCATAGGAATCTGATAGTCAGAGATTTGGTGGCCATACTAGGGCTCGCACACAAATATCGAGATGCCCTTGCGGAGATTTTCCGGAATGAATTGCGACCGAGTTGTTCCGCCGCCGATGACTCAACTCAACCCATCCGCGCGACACCGCCTCGTGAGGGTCTCGTGTCCGAGACGAACACCGCGAACCCTCGTGGCCGAAAGCGCGGGAAGGGAACAAGCAGGCGTTGGCGACGGCGGAAGGGGGTTTGCTCATCTCTCTTCCGGTGGACTCATTGCCGTTGCCGTTTCAATGGAATGCTTGTTCGCAAAAGTTCGCTTGGTTGGGAGCATCCAATGGAATGCTTTGCGGAGAGCGCGACAGGCGAATGATGATTTCACTCAGCTGCGAGCTTTTCCATGAGCCACTATCGAGTTAGTTATCAGGCAAGAGTGCAGCAGAGCAGGTAGAACGGGGGACAGTGAGAGGCTTTCTATCTCAGACTTGCTCGTCTAGTGAGGGAAGCGCGTCGACTCTCAGCAAGCCACAGTAGTCAGACCATGGCGATGGTCAAGGATCCGACGGCTCGTGTCCACTTCGCTTTGCCAGAAGAAAATTCCATCGTCGAAATCTCAAATTCGCAAAAGCTACAGCCTCCACTTCCTGCCGCGACCCGCTTGCTCTGCCCAATTGACACTCTTTCTCCCGAGCTGCTCCTTCGAATCTTCGAGTTCTTCGAGGCAGACGCCGAGCCGCAGGACGACACCTCCTTCGCTTCCCCCTCCCTCTCCTCCGCTTCTTCTCCCTCACTCTCCCAGGCCGATCCTGCTCGTCTCCCTCCTCTCCCAGCTCTCTTTCGCAACCTTACCTCGTCACTCCTCCCCTCTGTAACACATTCTACGCAATCTACAGTGGTGCGTTCCTCCTCCAGTAATTCCGAAGGAACCGTTCGTGATTGTTCCACTCCTCCTTTGAGCCACGCGGCGTTCAGGCATCCCTTCAGCCATGCGCTCGTCTGTTCCTCCTGGTACCGCCTCGCGCGCCAATCGCGCTCAGCTATTCGCATTCGCGCCGGCCGCCTACTCGACTCACGCACTCTACCCGTTCAGATCTCCGATTCCATCTATCCGTCGCTCACGGCGCTGAATCTGGAAGCGCGGAGCTTGCGACAAGTGAACGATGCTTTTGTTGCGAGCCTCGCGACGCATTGTCGTCGCCTGACTCGCTTGACGATTCATTGGATGTCGCACGGGGACGTCAGCGAGGAGGGTTTTGCCGCGCTCGCTACGGGTTGTACGCGTTTGGAACAGCTCCGCTTTCTGCACGGCACGAGCGCGTTCAGCCTGCCTCAGTCCTTTCAGCTGCCATCGCTCACGCATCTGACAATCGCACGTTGCCTGAATCTCGCCTCGCTCCCTCCTAACATTGCCCAGGCTTTGCCAAGTCTTAGAGAGCTTGAGCTAGATGGTAGTACAACCCTCTGCTGCTTACCTCTTTCGTTGGCTAGCCTTCCCGCCCTAAGTCGTCTAACCTTGCGAGATTTATCCCGCCTGGCTGAGCTGCCCGCGAATATTGGGCAGCTACCTCAACTACGCGAGCTAGTGCTGGATTGGTTGATATCTCTTCGCCGCTTGCCCAACTCCCTTGGGCAGCTGTCGACACTGGAAAGGCTTGTGATGTTGCGGTGCCGCAAACTGGCTCTGCCGGAAGGGTTTGAACAATTGCCACAACTGAAGGAGATTGTAACGACTGAACTGTTTTAGTTTTGCCAGTACATCAATATTTGTTTGTTGTAATACAAGTTGTACATTCCCATCTCTGCAACAACTTAGTTGGGAAATAGTTATATGAAAGTGCTGCACTGGATAACGTGTACGGCAAAAATAACGGAACTATCAGGCACGTATGACACTGACGCTCCTAGAAATCCCTAAAACCAAGCCGGACATCCTCATCTTTGCCTCTTCCCCTTCCGCGCCCTCTTCCTCTACCACCTCTTCCTCTTCCCCTCCCACGCCCTCTTCCCCTCCTCCCATAAAACACTCGCCCATGCTTCATCTCCAACAGTGAAAGTAGCAACTCGTCGCACAACACACACCCACGATGAACTGTAGCACCACCTGGTAACGGCGAAGCATCCTTGTGAAAATCCACTTCAATTATCCGGGCAGATCCGCACTCGGGGCACCAACCACCCTCTTTCTCACTCTCCCGCCCCTGCTGCCCCTGCTTCCCCTGCTGTTGGGCTTTTAGCAAAGAGCCGGAAGCACCGAATGGGAACAAGGGCACCACTGCCATTTTGTGTACGTTGGCTTTTATGAAAACTACGCAGCTGCAGCGGTTGCAATCTAAGCGCCACTTAGGGGCACTTACAGGGTCGAGCACCAGAGTCCCCTCACACTCAGGGCAGGGACACACGGCCATGCTCACCAGCGAATGGCGGCACGACACGTGGCGGCAGCTCGTGCACGCCATGCCAGTGAAGACCGACGAACCTGTCCTGGAGGAGGCTTGGGAGGTAAGTCCGGAAGCAGGCTCGGCAGCAGGTTTGGAGGAGGTGGCAATGATGCTGGTGGCAGGGGTGGTTGGCTTTCCCAGGTCTTCGAAAGGAGGATGGTTGTAGCAGTACGGGCAGAGAGGAAAAGTCTTTCCTTCAGGTCCGGGCAGAGAGTAAAGAACCAGCTCATAGTTGTCGAGCGGGCAGGTGAGCTCCTTGTAGAGCTGTGAAGAAAATAAAAGAAAAGAAAAGAAAAGAAAAGGCAGGGAGTTGCACATCTGATGCGCTGTTCTGAGAAAGATTGAGAAGGTCTTCACATGTGGTGCAGAACGTTAAGATGTTCTGAGCCAAGTGTCAAGTCGACCCAGAGCTCACCTTGATAGCACCGTTCTGCGGGAGATTGAAGATGTCTTCACATGTCGGGCAGAACAACCGTGTGGGCTTTAACGGCACGAAGCGCATGAATCGCCCGCACTTGCCGCAGCGACCCATGGGCTTGCCAGAGGCGGCGAGAGGGGAGAAGTGGGCTTCAAACAGCGAGTCCATCCGAGCAATCTGAAAGGGAGAGGGGAAGAACGGGGGCAGCACAGGGGATGGTGGTGAGCTTGGAGAGCGGTACTTGCTGCAGCGACCCATGGGCTTGCCAGAGGGAGCTAGCGGAGAGAAGTGCGCTCAAAGAGCGAATCCACGCGAGCAATCTGAAAGGGAGAGGGGAGAGGGGAGAGGGAGGAGCAGGGGCAGCACAGAGGGAATTGCGGTGAGTTTGGAGTGGAGTGGGCTCCAAAGGGCACTTGCCGCAGCAACACCCATGGGCTTGCCAGAGTTCATTTTGTTTGAGATTGATTTTGAGAATTCTCAAAATCAATCTCTGCAGCAACACCCATGGGCTTGCCCGAGGCAGCCAGGGGGGAGAAGTGCGCCTCAAAGAGAGAATCCATGCGAGCAATCTGAAATGAAGAGGGGAGAGGGGATTGCGGTGAGTTTGGAGTGGACTCCAAACGGCACTTGCCGCAGCAACAGCCATGGGCTTGCCCGAGGCAGCCAGGGGGGAGAAGTGCGAATCCATGCGGGCAATCTGAAAGGGAGAGGGAAGAGCGGGGGCAGCACAGAGGAAGAGTTTGGAGTGGGCGCCAAAGGCACTTGCCGCGGCAACCGATGGGCTCGCCAGAGGCAGCAAGAGGGGAGAAGTGCGCCTCAAAGAGCGAATCCACGCGAGCAATCTGAAAGGGAGAGTTGCAGGAGAAGAGGAGGCATTGGAGAAGAATCAATCTTAGGTGCTCTCGACACAGTACTGGCAAGAACCAGTACCCACCTGAAATACCCACCCACCTGGCTGACGAAGTACCTGAAATTTTCTGAGAACTGGTGCAGCACGAGAGTCGCCACTGTGCCATGCTCCATAGGGTACCCAACTCACCAAGAGCATACTCACTTGGCCCCTGGCACTGGGTGATACAACACCCACCACCCTGCCGTGTTCCCCTGTGCATGTCGACTCGTCACATGGATCAGTTCAGAGAGAACCCACATGAACAACCCTAACACCCACCTGGCTGACAAAGTACTTGAAATTCTCTGAGAACTGCTGCAGCACGAGCGCCACCACTGTGCCATGGTCCATAGGGCACCCAACTCACCACCAGCATACTCACAACCATAACACCCACCTGAGAACTGCTGCAGCACGAGCGCCACCACTCTGCCGTGGTGCACCCTTGTAACTGTACAGTACACAACTGAACAACCATCACACACACCCACCTGACTCACAGAACATTTACCTGGCTGACAAAGTATTTGAACTTCTCGAAGAACTGCTGCAGCACGAGCGTCACCACCCTGCCGTGGTCCGCCTTGCCCTGCGCGATCAGCGTAATCTGCTGCTCTATGAACCGTCGGATGTCCGGCAAGCAAAGGTCCGGATCGATCTGCTGGTACCCGCGCACGAGCGTGGTGCCGAGGGTGGTGGGCACAATCTTGCGACCGGGTGCCACCTAGTAAAGGAGGATGGGGGGGAGGGAGAGGGAGAGGGAGCGGGAGCGGGAGAAGCAGTGGGCAGTGTTGGTACCCACGCATGAGCGTGGTGCCGAGGGTGGTGGGCACGATTTTACGATGTGGTGCCACCTGTTAAAGGAGAAGGGGGGGGGAAGGGAGAGGGGGAGAGAGAAAAAGCCGTGAGAGGGCAGGAAAGGAAGGAGCATTGGGCAGTGCTGGTACCCGCACACGAGCACGGTGCCGAGGGTAGTGGGTACAATCTTACACCCCAGTGCCACCTGGTGGAAAAGGGGAAGGGGGGAAGGGAGAGGAAGAGGAAGAGTGAGTGGTTAGGAAATAAAAGGGAGGGTGGTAGTTTGTGCCGCGCACGAGCGTGGTGCCGAGGGTGGTGGGCACAATCTTGCGACCCGGTGCTACCTGGTGGAGATGGGTGATAGAGGGGAAAAGAGAAAGAATTGAGAAAATGGAGGTGGTGGTACGTGTTGCACACGGGTGTGGTACCCAGGATGGTGGGCAGAATCTTACGGCCAGGCGCTACCTGATGGAGGGGAGAGGGAGAGAGGGGAAGAAGGAGAAGAAAATGCTCTCCTTGAGTGTGGGTACGATCCCGAAAGTCAGAGGCACGAACCAGTGCTCGAGCGTGGCACCCAGGATGGTGGGCACAATCTTATGGCCAGGCGCTACCTGATGGGAAGGAGGGAGAGTGGAGAGAATGGAGTGGGTGGGATTTGGGATGAAGGGGTGGTGGGGACAATCCGATTGCCGGCAGGCGCAAGTGGAAAAGGTGTGGTTGGGGATGGCGCTCGTGCAGCTGCTGGGGTCCAAAAAGAGCCTTGAGGACCAGATTGCTCGCCTCACCACCAAGGTCTGTCATGGAAGCACCTCTAAGAATGAGTTGTGGGGGCAGGGGGAGGTGCTTCCATGATAGACCTTGGTGGTGGGGCGAGCAATCTGGTCCTCGTGGCGCTTCTTTGACCCCAGCAGCTTCACGAGCGCTACCCCCGACCACATCTTCTCCACTTGACGCTCGCTGATGCTGTTGATAGCAACAACATTGTTATGCCTGTGCACGGAAATGGACGCGTCCGTGCCATTGCTACAATCCCAACCGCCCCTCTCCCACCCTCTCCCCCCATCTCCCCCCATCTCTTCCCCTCTCCCCTCCTCTCCCCGCTCCCCCCAACCCCTCCCTCCTTGCGCATGGTTCCGCTCGTAGATGTTGCTGATGTGGACCGGGATGGAAGCGTCTGTGTCAGGTGTGTGTTGAGTTGAATCGGAACACACCCGCCCCAGAACCCCCCACCCACCCCTTCTCCCCCCCCTCCCTGTACCTGCGCAGAGTTCCGCTCGCAGATGTTGTTGATGTGAACGGGGATGGACGCATCCGTGCCGATGCCACGTGTGTGTTGATTCGACTTAAGAAAGAGCCCCCCATCCCCCTTCCCCCCTTGCCTGAGCATAGTTCCGTTCACAGATGTTGTTGATGTGAACGGGGATGGACGCATCCGTGCCGATGCCACGTGTGTGTTGATTCGACTTAAGAAAGAGCCCCCCATCCCCCTTCCCCCCTTGCCTGAGCATAGTTCCGTTCACAGATGTTGTTGATGTGAACGGGGATGGACGCATCCGTGCCGATGCCACGTGTGTGTTGATTCGACTTAAGAAAGAGCCCCCCATCCCCATTCCCCCCTTGCCTGAGCATAGTTCCGTTCACAGATGTTGTTGATGTGCACGGGGATGGACGCATCCGTGCCGATGCTACCACTCACTTTCCCTCCCCACTATCCTCGCCCACCACACACAAAGTCAACCTCCCCTACCTGAGCATAGTTCCGTTCACAGATGTTGTTGATGTGAACGGGGATGGACGCATCCGTGCCGATGCCGTGCAACGTGTGTCTGGACTTGAATATGAACACCCCGCAATACCCCCTTGTCCCGCCCCCAAACCCCTCCCTACCTGTGCATAATTCCGTTCACAGATGTTGTTGATGTGAACGGGGATGGACGCATCAGTGCCAATGCCGTGTCGCTCCATCAGCCCAATCAGCTCGCTCTCAGTCAGGTAGTCAGGTGGGGAGGTGCGGCCCTGAAGGTGGTGGGAGGTGGTACAGAGCGGTTACAAGCTCAGCTTCACACATGAAGTACAGGGGGGAACCGTACCTAAACAATGCGTTCGATCGAATCACTCGTAAGAATTTTCATAAGAGCCCTCTCCTCCTTCCCCTTCCTCCCCCCCCTCCTTTCACCTCGTACAGCTCTACTGCGCTCAGTGCAATGACCCCTCGCCGTGCGAAGGCTGGAAGGCCCTAGTCCTCCACGGCCAGCCACGGCATGACTGCAGTGAAAGGCAGCAGCACAGGGGATAGCCTGGTAACACCTACACTGCTCCTCACCGCACCTAACCACATATTACCTCGCACAGCTCTACTGCGCTCAGTGCAATGACCCCTCGCTGTGCGAAGGCTGGAAACCCCTCCGCATAACAAGCCATGAAAGGCGGCACCTGCCCTCACCTCATAGAGTTCAACTGAACTCTTATCACAGGAGAATAGAGATTCGACGTGGATCCAGCAGCCTAAACACGTTCTAGAATCAGTTCAACAGTTTTGGAGGTAACAGGCAACATCCTGAACTCAGTGCAATGCTCTCTCCCTGCACGAAGGTTGGGAGCCCCTCGTCTCCCACGGCCAGCCACTGCATGACTGCAGTGAAAGGCAGCAGCACAGGGGATAACCTGGTAACACCTACACCTCCCCTCACCGCACCTCACCACATATTACCTCATAGAGCTCCACGGCACTCAGTGCAACGCTCTCCCCCTGCACGAAGGCGGGGAGCCCCTCGTCCCCCACCGCCAGCCACGGCATGACTGCAGTGAATCCTGCGGATAGCAGCTTTCGTCCCGATGCTGAGAAGTGCTCTCCAGCCACTGAGAAGGTGACACGTGTCCTGGTGGGGAAGGGAGGAGCGGGCAGGATGGGCGGCAAGGAGGGGAGGGGCGAAGAGATGACACAGGAACAAGATGGATGAAGAAGTGGGGAAAAAGGATGGAAATGGGAGGGAAGGGGAGAAATCGAGGGGAGGGAGAACGAGAGGGGAGCCGAGGAGGAGAACGAGAGAAGAAAAGAGAGAGAGAGAAGTTTTTCCTACTCAACACTCCAAGAATCCCGTACATTCCTATGACTTAACCTCTCACACACTCACCTTGCGATCCTGCAGTTAGGGCTGAAGATCCCTATAAAGTGCCTCGTTATAAGGTCACACAAGTGTCCCCCCACGCATCCCTACACCTGATGTCCCTCCAACCGCTCCCCTGACCTCTCACACACTGTCGGAGAATCACTTCTTCCTTGCACCAGTCCTTCTCCTCATCTCTTCTGCCTCTCCTTCTCTTGTATATTCCTGTTCTATTCTAACAAGCGGAAAGCAACTAGAGGGTGTGTGTTTGCTGAACTTACGTTGCTCAGGCCTGAGTTGCACATTTCCCAATGTGCGCCTCGGGCTCGAGCCTGGTTGCTTCAGATTGGATCGTTAGATTGCACCCCCTTGATGTTCCCTTGACCTGCCTACCAACTTCGCATCAACCCCCAAGTGTCCCCACAACTACCCACCCTCGAAACATAATACAAAAATTGCTACACTACCAAGTACACCCGTGCCCAACTGTTACCGTATATGCACAAAGTGCATATTCGGTGACAACACTCACCTTGCGATCCTGCAGTCTGGACTGAAACTCCCTATAAAGTGCCTCGTTACAAGGTCATACAACCGCCACGCGTCTCCGCCACCCAGCTCCCCCTCGTCTGCAGCGCGCATGGGCGTGATGGGCGGGTGGTCTCCCTCGTCTTTTCCCGCCCTGGGCGGCGAGGGCCCGAGCTGCAGGAGTGATTGCACGTACTCCCCCCATATGGGGTGCCGTGACTGTATCGAAAGGGCTTCTTTATAGTCAAAGGAGGAGGGGTAGGCTGTTGACTCCGTGCGAGGGTAGCTGGAAAGGGGAGGGGAGAGGGACAGGTGGGCAGATGGGCAGAGAAAGGGGACAGAGGATAAGGGGCAAAGGGGTTAGTTGGTATGAGAGTGCACGTAAACCCCCTAATATGGGATGGCGTGACGGTATCGAAACGGCATCTTTATAGTCAAAGGAGGAGGCGTAGGGAGTGGATTCGGTGCGAGGGTAGCTGGGAACGTAGCGGGGAGGGGGGAAAGGCGAGAATGGCGAAGAGGACAGAGAAGGTGAAGTCGGGATGCAAGGACGCTATTTTTAAGGCGCCTCAGAAGTTGCGATGCAAATGATGTCTTTCAAGAATTCTCAAAGAACACCTGCGATCCAAAGGACGTCCTCTGCGAAAGAGCGTATTTATAGTCAAAAGAGGCACGGAAGGCTGCCGACTTGGTGCGAGGATAGCTGGAAAGGGCAGATGGGAAGGGCAGGTGGGGGATCGTTAGAAAAGAAGGAAGACGATATCAAAGAGTTGCAGAGGAGCTGGTGCATACGGAGGAGCGGAACGAGGCAATGCGTCAGCTGACGGTGCGTGCGAAGCAGTGAAAGGAAGCAGTGCGTCAGCTAGTGGTGGATTCAGAGCAGCGGAAAGAGGCAATGCGTCAGCTGGTGGTGCATGCGGAGCAGCGAAAAGAGGCAGTGCGACAACTGGTGGTGCATGCGGAGCAGCGGAAAGAGGCAGTGCGTCAGCTGGTGGTGCATGCGGAGCAGCGGAAAGAGGCAATGCGTCAGCTGGTGGTGCATGCGGAGCAATGGGAGGAGGCAGTGCGTCAGCTGGTGGTGGATGCGGAGCAGCTGACGCACTGCCTCCTTCCGTTGCTCCGCATCCACCACCAGCTGACGCACTGCCTCTTTCCGCTGCTCCGCATGCGCCACAAGCTGACGCACCGCCTCTTTCCGTTGCTCCGCATACACCACCAGCTGACGCACTGCCTCCTGCCGTTGCTCCGCAAGCACCACCAGCTGACGCACTGCCTCTTTCCGCTGCTCCACATGCACCACCAAATGACGCACTGCCTCTTTTCGCTGCTCCGCATGAACCACCAACTGACGCACTGCTTCCTTACGCTGCTTCGCACGCACCACCAGCTGAGGCATTGCCTCGTCCCGCTCCTTCTCACACTCCCTCCCCTTCTCACCTGATGTAACCCTGAGTGTAAAGTCTCTCAGCGATCTGCATGGCGTGGTGCGGCCCCATGCCCAGCCCACTGGAAGCAGCTTTCAGCATCTCCACCGTGTTCAGCCCTGTAGGTCGCCCCTTCCTCTCCTCCTTCCCCACAACGCTCCTCACAACTGCAGCACCGCCCGCTGCCACGTCTCGTTGAAAGAACTCTGCAACCTGCCAGCAAGGGTTGTGTGGAGTGGAGTCGAGGGTTGGGGAGGGGGAAGCAGCTTTCAGCATCTCCACCGTGTTCAGCCATGTAGGTCGCCCCTTCCTCTCCTCCTTCCCCACAACGCCCCTCACAACTGCAGCACCGCCCGCTGTCACGTCTCGTTGAAAGAACTCTGCAACCTGCCAGCAAGGGTTGGGTAGAGTGGAGTCGAGGGTTGGGGAGGGGGAAGCAGCTTTCAGCATCTCCACCGTGTTCAGCCATGTAGGTCGCCCCTTCCTCTCCTCCTTCCCCACAACGCCCCTCACAACTGCAGCACCGCCCGCTGTCACGTCTCGTTGAAAGAACTCTGCAACCTGCCAGCAAGGGTTGGGTAGAGTGGAGTCGAGGGTTGGGGAGGGGGAAGCAGCTTTCAGCATCTCCACCGTGTTCAGCCCTGTAGGTCGCCCCTTCCTCTCCTCCTTCATTGCAACACTCTTCACAACCGCAGCACCGCCTGCCGCCACATCCCTCTGAAAGAACTCTGCAACCTGCCAGCGAGTGGGATGGGGAGGAGAGGAGAGGGTAAGTGAAATGGTGAGTGTTCAACCCTGTAGGTCGCCATTTCCTCTCCTTCATTGCAACAGTCTTCACAACTGCTGCCCCCCACTCCTGCAACATCCATCTGAAAAAAAACTCTGCAACCCGGCAGCAAGAGAAAGAGGGGAAACAGGAGAGTGTTCAGCCCTGAGGGTCGCCCCCTCCTTTCCTCCTTCCCTACAACGCTCGTCACAGTGGCAGTGCTGCCTGCTCAGCTGCCACATCCCTCTCAAAGAACTCTGCAACCTGGCAGCAAGAGAAAGAGGGGAAACAGGAGAGTGTTCAGCCCTGTGGGCCGCCCCTTACTCTCCTCCTTCCCTACAACGCTCGTCACAATGGCAGTGCTGCCTGCTCACCTGCCACATCCCTCTCAAAGAACTCTGCAGCATGGCAGCAAGAGAAAGAGGGGAAACAGGAGAGTGTTCAGCCCTGTGAGCCGCCCCTTACTCTCCTCCTTCCCTACAACGCTCGTCACAGTGGCAGTGCCGCCTGCACACCTGCCACATCCCTCTGAAAAAGCTCTGCACCCTGCCAGCAAGCCGAGAGGGGAAAGGGGGGAGGAGGGAGGGTGCGGCAACCTCCGAAAGAACTCTGAAAGAACTCCGCAACCTCACTTCCTCTCTCCCCTCCTTACACCCCCCCTCCCCCCCCCCCCCCGGAACCAGACCTCATCTCCTGGTCAGACAGCCTGCTTTTGAGTCGACTTAGAAACAGCCCCCCTCCACTCACCTCCTTGTCGAACAGCCGTCCCCGAGCAAGCCCATTGCAGCGGCAGCTGGCGGCCGTCCCTGTTTCAGTTAACAGCCCCCCCTTAGCTCCCCCTCCATTCCCCCTCTTCCCTCACTCCTCGACCCCTCCTCCTTCCCCACTCCTCCTCCTCCACTCACCTTCTTTTCAAACAGTCGCCCCCAAGCAAGCCCACTGCAGAGTTGACTTTTGAGTCGACTCAAGAGTCAAGACTCAGAAGTCAACTCTCGTCCTTCTCCACTCACCTTCGTGTCGAACAGCCGCCCCCGACCCGAGCAAGCCCACTGCAGCACCAGCTGGTGGCCGCTCCTGAAGCAGACCCCCCTCCATTTCTCTCCACCAAACCCCCCGCACTGCTATACTACACCCACCCGCACTCCCCCCCACGCCTCCTCTCACCTCCTTGTCGAACAGCCGTCCACGAGCCCACTGCAGGGCCAGCTGGTGGCTATCACTGAAGCACATCTCACTTCCTCTCCTGTACCCCCCACTCTCACCTCCCTACATCCCCCCACCCCCATCTTCCCCTCCTCTCACCTCCTTGTCGAACAGCCGCCCCCGAGCCCACTGCAGTGCCAGCTGGCGGCCGTCGCGCACGACGATTGGCCGCACCGCCCAGAAGGGCTCCGAGACAAACGACGTGATGCGCTGATGGCGGGCCACACAGAAGCCGAGCGTGGGCGTCTGGCACGGGCCGTACCTGTAAGTGGGGGTTGAGTGTGGGCATGCATGGATGACAGAGGAAAAGCGGTAATATGTTTTCACAATGCTTCAAAGATCAGCACGAGCCCAGCGTGGGTGTCTGTCTTGCACGGGCGGTACCTGCATGGGCGTTTGTACAGTGTGCATGCGTGGGAATGGAGGAGTATAGAGGACAGGGGGGAATATTAAGACGATGCACCGAAGACAGAAGAAACCAATTCGAGGAGACAGAACGAGCCAAGGTCTTCATAAAAAGCCACTCATGAGATGAGCAACGAGTGAAGGTTTTCATATTTCCCCTGGACAAAGCGTGTCTGAAACCTCGTGAAGGCCACCCCCACCTTCAGGCCAATCAGTAGTGTGGTGCGCCCCCCTATCCCTGACTGTTTCAATCCAGGATCTTTCCTTCCTTATGCCCGGGCAGCCACTCACGAGATGAGCGACGAGTCGAGGTTGCCGTATTTTGCTTGGAAGAAGCGCGTTTGGAACCGTGTGAACGCCAACCCCACTTTCAGTTCGATCTCCTGCCGTGCGTCCACTGCCTTGGCCTCCGCCTCGCATTCCTTCTCAGTCTAACATGGGCCCTTATGCCCAATTCCCAATCATGCACATAGATGTACGGACTGACTCAGATCTCAGGCTACTTACGAGATGAGAGACAAGTAAATTCCAAGTCACAGCCCAAGCCACTCACGAGATGAGCGACGAGTCAAGGTTGCCGTATTTCCCTTGGAAGAAGCGCGTCTGGAACCGTGTGAACGCCACGCCCACTTTCAGGTCGATCTCCTGCCGTGCGTCCACTGCCTTGGCCTCCGCCTCCTTAGGAACCCCAGCCGCAGGCCATCACTGCACTGTCTAGCCAAGTAACATTCTCTTGGATGGCTAAGGATTTTGCCAGGTAGACAAGTGGACTTTATGTCACAGCCCACGCCACTCACGAGATGAGCGACGAGTCAAGGTTGCCGTATTTCCCTTGGAAGAAGCGCGTTTGAAACCGCGTAAACGCCACCCCCACTTTTAGGTCGATCTCCTGCCGTGCGTCCACTGCCTTGGCCTCCACCTCATTGGGTACCCCCAGGTGTCCCATCGCCTGCCGAATGTCCTTCTCTCCTATTGCTGAGAACTTGGCCCTGAAGACGTTTTGTGGTGACCTCATGCTGGGCTGCGTGTGAGCCATCACTGGTGGGTTGAGGCGACGGGAGGGGATCAGGAATGGGGCAGAATTCAGAGGAGAGTAGGGGGTTTGAAGAGGCATGACCATCTCTATCTACTATCGCTGAGAATTTCGCCCCGAAAACGTTTGAGGCAACCCCATGCTGGGTTGTGTGTGGCCCACCACTGGTGCCGGGGAGGATAGGATAGGGATGGGATTGGGAACCGAGGGTTGGGGGCAAGTCAAGATGAGAGGAGGAGAGCGTGTAAGAGTCGTGGTTCCATCTCCTGCCTCGGAGTCACTGCCTTGGCCTCCGTCTCATCGGGCGGGAGGGGATGATTCGAGGCAGGAGATTGGGGACAGAATTCAGAGGAGAGGAGTGGGTTGAAGAGATAAGTCCGTCTCCCCTATTGCTAAGTCTTTCCGCCCTAGATGCTTTGAGGAGACCTCATGCTGGGCTGAGTGTGTGGCGTCACTGGTGGTAGGAGGGCATGAGGACATGAGAGGATGTGGAAGTACACACTTTGAGCGAGATACTCATTTCGTTTCAGAGCCTCACCCACCTTCGAAACCGATATTCCCTCCCTCTGTCGCAGTCCAGCCACAACACGAGAGAATGAGGGCACAAGAGGTCGAGGGTGTGACACTTTGAGCGAAATATTCATTTTGTTTCAGAACCTCACCCACCTTCGAAGCAGATGTTCTCGCCCTCTCTGTCGCAGTCCAGCCAGAGCACAAGGGCATCACACCCCTTGGCCTCCGTCTGTAGGTGCTTGCACACATGAGCCTGCGCAGAACCGCACAGCACCGCACAACAACGGGCCACACCGGAAGGAAGCGCACAGCAGATAGCAAGGGTGGGGGAGAGAGTTGCATGAAGAAGCACAGCAGAAGGGAATAATAAAGGACGAGCGATTTGATGACAGGGACAAGAGAGTAGACCCACCAACCCTTGAAACGCACTGACACACAGAGGCAGCAGCTTCTCTTTCACGTCAGCCACGCCCACCCTAGAAACGCACTCTCTCTCTCTCTCTCACACACACCCAGCTCTAGAAAGGCATTCTCACACGCACACCCAATCCTAGAACCGCAGTCAATCAAACCCAGACTTGAGAATATCATACCTTGCCTGGAGAGTCATGCTGCGTTGCACCTTGACCCACTCCAGGATCGAAACCCACCGAAACTTGACTCTAGGCTCGGCTACAGGCGCCGCACCTTGGGATTGTATTCGGTTTTGATGGTGGGGCGAGTGAGAACTCTAAAATTCCAAACATAAAACCACTGTACCTTGGGCTTGGGTGGGTGGGGGTTCAGCTTCGGCACTAAAGTTGCCAGCCGCACCTTGGGGTTGGATTCGGTTTTGATGGTGGGGGCAGTGAAGAGTGCTGCCGGGTCTGTGGCGTCCCAGCTCTGGTAGCTGGGAGGGAAGTCGATGCTGGGGGTGTGGAAGGGGTGGGGGGAGGGAGGAGGGGGAGAAGGGGTGATGCCGGGTCTGTGGCGTCCCAGCTCTGGTAGCTGGGAGGGAAGTCAATGCTTGGGAGGGGGGGAGAAGAAAGGTCGGGGGGAGGAGTGAAAGTAGGGTGGGCGAGGGGGATGGGTGCGGCGAGGGGAAAATTCAGTCTGTGGCATCCCAGATCTGGTAGCTGGGGGGAAGTCGATGCTGACAGGGGGGGAGGGGTGGGGGGGAAAGTGGCGTAGGGGAGAAGGAGAGGACGGGATGCTTACGTGCACAAGGCATGGCAAGCCTAAGTCAGGGGGAAGTCGATGCTGGGAGAGTTTTGAGTCGACTCAAAACACACCTTTTGAGTCGACTCAAAAGTCAATGCTGGGAGGAGGTCAATGCTACCCCTGTCTGAGTGTATCTGTGTTGCGTGCGTGTGTGACTATACCGAGCCCACCTGAGCACGTGGCCAATGACAGACGTGACTCCGAACCGAGCTGGTGAGCTTGTGTGCTTATAGCAAGGGAGCCGTGCGTGTGTGTGACAATGTCGAGCCCACCTGAGCACGTGGCCAATGACAGACGTGACTCCGAACCGAGCTGGTGAGCTTGTGTGCTTATAGCAAGGGAGCCGTGCGTGTGTGTGACAATGTCGAGCCCACCTGAGCACGTGGCCAATGACAGACGTGACTCCGACCCGAGCTGGTGAGCTTGTGTGCTTATAGCAAAGGAGCCATGCGTGTGTGACTATACCGAGCCCACCTGAGCACGTGGCCAATGACAGACGTGACTCTGAAGCGAGCCGGGCCTCCTCGAAAGTCACCGTTGAACTCGTGCACGTCCAGCCAGGAGCGACGGGAAGCCATCTGGGAGAGTGGAGGGGAGACGAGTGAAAGAGAGTGGAGTGGAGTGGAAGGTGGGAGTGCATGGCACGGTGGTTGAACTCGTGCACATCTAGCCAGGAGCGCCGAGAGGCCATCTGGGAGAGTGGAGGGTGAGAGGAAGGAGCACAATGCCGTGTGAATGCAGCTCGGGCATGTGAATTGTCGGTTTTGAGAATTCTCAAAGGAAACTCGGGCATGTGCATTGTGCTGGCAGCCCAGCACAGGGGGCTGGGGCTCCTCGGAAATCACTGTTGAACGACGAGAGGCCATCTGGGAGATGAGGAGGGGAGTGACGCGAAAGAACACAAGAGCACAATGAGCGTGTGAATGCAATGCAGCTCCGGCATGCGCTGCGCACTGTGCTGGCAGCATTGTGCTGGCAGCATTGTGCTGGCAGCCCTGCAGCTCCTCGGAAGTCACCGTTGAACTCGTGCACGTCCAACCGGGAGCGCCGAGAGGCCAACTGGGAGAGTGGAGGGTGAGGGGAGGGGAGGAGAAGGGCAGCAGTGCCCCAGTCCCAGTGGCAGCGCAGTGAGCAGGCGTGAGCAGGCGTGAGGGGGCGTGGCGTGAGGCGTGAGCAGGGGATAATCAGCCAGCCAGCGACTGTGGTTCATTTCACACCTGGAGATAAGTGAACGGGACATGCACGCGTCGTTCTTTAAGTCGACTCATAAGTCACCTTGACTCAAAACACGGCTCAATAGCATGGGTGCTTCTTTGTGCTGCTCCTCACCTGCCCTTGCCACATCGCCTCCCTGCCAGTGTTTCTTATTTACCTGCCCGCGAATGCTTTCACCTGCCCGTGATTCTTATTTACCTGCCCGTGCGACATGACTTGAGCGATGGTGAGCGCAATGCTGGGCTTTTCTGCCACCTGGCCGCAGGGATTGGACGACGGGATAAGGTGAGTGGGATGGGAAGGGAGTGGTGGTGAGAGTGATTGGGTGCGGGATGATGCGATACGGCGATGAGGGGTTGAGGGGTGAGTGGAAAAGGAACTGAGGAAATGAAGGGAAGGGGGAAGGCGAGGAAGGGGATGAAGAGATGAGCTGATGAAAGGGGAGGGTTTCCGAGAGGATGGCAAGAGATTAGAAGACCCCGCTTGAGTTTATTTTTTAGTCGATTCTAAAATAGACACGTTACACGAGATTTGTTTAGTCGAGTCAAAAACAGAGACTAGAAGACTCCGCTTGAGGGATTCGGCAGTCGGAGTGAGAAGTTCGACCGTAGCGTTCGTCCACTAAACGAGATAGAGTCCTACCATGAGCACGAGCTGCGACGCCATCTCGCTCCGCTCCGATTGTCGGAGTGAGAAGTTCGACAGCAGCATTCGTGCACTAACCGAGATAGCGAGAAATTTTTGAGGCGCCTCAAAAACCGCTCCGGCTGTGAGCAATTCGGCAGCAGCGTTCGTACACTAACCGAGATAGCGAGATAGATCGTACCATGAGCACGAGCTGCGGCGCCATCTTGTTCCGCTTCAAGGCTTCTCAACTATGCCGACGTGCGTCCAGCGAGCGAGTCGATGCGCGACCGGCGAGTGATTCGGCACGCGCCCAGACTACGAGTGAGTGGAGTCGCCGCGTCAGGGACTACGAACGATGCGCTCGGCGCAGAGACGTTTCAACAGCTAGTCAAATCGCTCCCGGCGGTTCTACCTATACACATCCCAGGTGCGTCACGCGTTTCCCGCCAACTAGCACCCGAACCGCTTTCCCCTACTTCTGTTTCAGTCATATGTAGGAGTTGGAGTTCCTGAGATTTGTCTTGGTGTCAGAAATTTCGAATCTTCGCTTGTGCGAGCTTCGCTAATTCAAGAAAAGCGGCTCGGTTACATACCCGAGTTGTGTAAAAACTTAAATGCAAGATAATGAGTGATTGGTTGGTGTGATTAAACGTTGCTAAATTAAATATAACCTGAAGTTCCTAGGGTGCACGCACAGTGCTGATAGTGATTCCTACTCGAGTACACATGCTACTTCAAGCCCAATGCTCTACTGCCTGACAAAGAGAGAGTGTGGTACAACGTTGCTTAATTTTGATACTGTGATACACCTGCGAGAACCACACTGCATATGCATTACTGCTTGACAAAGAGGGCACGGTACATGGGTGAGCCTTGTAGCAGCACCACCACCTCCCTCTCACTCGGCATCCCCAGAGGGTTGTGATTCAGCCACCTTATTCCCTCCCCTGCACTACCCTCCCCTGCCCTCTCCTCGCCTGCGCCGCCCCCACCTGTCCTTGCCTGCCACACACTCCCCTCTCCTTCCTCCCCCCCACCTGCTCCTGCCACAAGGTCTCTTGGAACAAATCGCACTGTCAGCACGCCTTCACTGACCGTAAAAATCTCCCCTCCCTCACTCTCCCGCTCCCCTCCCTCGCACTCCCTCTCCCCTCCCTCATCCTCACTCTTGACTCTCCCCCTCTTACCCTCAGCATCCTCCTCCCTTCCTCCCCTCCCTCCCCTCCCATACTCCGCAAACTGCCAGTACATGTCAGCAGCCACCTCTTCCACGTCAGACTCCACAAACACGTGTCCACCTGGCACCATCACCCGCCCAATCGCCTCCACCAACCCCCACTGCACCACCCTCCTCTTCCTGTGCTTATTCTTGAAATGCGGGTCGGGGCAGAGGATCGAAATGGCCACAGGTGGTCCCGGGTAGGTCGCCGGCACGGATTCGAGCGCTGACGTGGCGTTGGCGACGACAAAGTGCGCGTTGCGCAGCGCCAGCTGGCGGCGCCACGTGTCGGCGCGCTGCACGAGCTTGTCACGGATCTCAAATCCGAGATAGTTGAGTGGTGGGGCGGGGAGGAACGACGGCGACAGTGGCGGTGGCCCGTACCCCTCCTCCCCCTCCTCCCCTTCCTCCCCTCGCTGCTGCGCGCGCCAGCGCCAGTCCCTCACAGCAAGCGCCAAAACCAGCCGCCCACTTGCCGACCCAATGTCCACCACCAGAGGCAGCGACGGGTCCTCATACACTGCCGCCCAGTCCACGGGCGGCGGCGGCGCCATTAGAGACGTCTTTTTAAGGGGTTCACGTGCTGCCGGACGCGCACCGGGAGCAGCGGATGGCCGTCCGCGAGTGGCGGGAGCTCGAGGGCGGCAAAGATCGTGTCGATTGACAGGCTGGCGCCTGCTGACGTGGCGGCCAGGGATTGGATCTGCGGCCACTGCGACGCGGCGTGCGGGACGAGCGGGCGCGTGCGCCACTCGGACACGCGCCTCGGAATCGATTCCGTTGACTCCGTTGGCTCCGCCTTTCTTGCCTTTTTCTCTGCTCGTCTGTGCCTGCGCTTGGCCCTCAAATCATCCCCCTCAGATTTTCCTCCTACCCCCTCGATCCCCTCGCCGTGCTCTCTACCGTTTCTCCATTCCAGTGCCTTGTCATTCTCTTTACTGTAATTCGCTATTGTCACTGTCCCCTCCACACTTCCCCTCTCCTCAATCCTCTCTTTCTCACTTCTCTCTTCCCCCTCCCTCGCTTCTCTTCCCTCCCCTACTCTTCCGCCTTCCCCGTCGAGATTGTCGATTTCTCGACTGGTTACCACCTCCGCTCCCCGCGCCGATGGTACAGCAGCCGCCAGTCTCGTAATTGGTGGATTGAGGAGTCTGGACTGCAGTGAATCGGTCACTCTGTTCAAAGGCGAGCTGGTAGTGAGTGGTGACTTGAATGGTCTTATTCGTGAGTCGCGAAACTCGCAGGTCGCTGAGCTGCGAAACTCGCATCGCGCTGAGAAGCTATACGGTATGTTGCCGGGCGGATGAAATGTGCCGACTCGCCAAGCGGCTAACGATCGCCACGTCTAGAACCTATAAGGGACTGCGAAGGCCTTATAGCGGGGATACTACTCGCATTGCGGCATCGCAGGACAAGGGACGGCCTTGTCGCGACGATCGATCCCGCAACAGCGAAGCCCATGGCGAAAACGGGAATGCGGTTACAGCTGAAATGGTTACAGTCGCGGCATAGCACGGCGATGAATTATCCTAGGCTTCCAATTTGTTCCCTCCTTACGCTGGGCCTACGCGCGGGAACTCCAAAGTTACGCTGCCCACTCCGGCTGTAACGCTCGAGGACTTGCAGCGAGAGAAGCTTGCCGCTGCTGCGCCTAGGACGTGTCGCGCAGCGCGAATGGCCGCAAAAAATGGCGACGACGCAAGCGTGAACTGTTGTAAGGTTTTATGAGCCAAGTGGTAGGAGGTTTTAGGAGCAAGCAACAAACAAGACGAGGGGTTTGCGGAGGTTTACGGGATTATGTCGAGTACTCTATGTCTCGCGGTTTAGCGGGATAAGTAGTGTAATGCACTTCTAACACTCGTAAAATAAAGTGTAAACAGAGATACAGTTTTTGACACAATGCCACGCCATCTCCAATAGGAACCTGCAAGAAGCGAGACGAGTGGAATGAATACTTTACGCAACAAGGCAGTTGATCAGGCATGTAACAAGAGTAAGAACACACAATCACCATGCAAGATGGTACGAGAAAGCGATCGAAGCAAGCACAGAAAATGCTATGGAATTTCCGCTTCATTGCACGTTCACTTACAATGCTATGATGGATGCGAGGATCATCACGAATGAATTTGTTGAATGCCCTGAGGTATTCAGTCTTGCGGTCAGTCACCTGAAAATCCAATGTAGTTGCAAACAATGGAGTGCGTGTTTGATGCGGGGAAAATAAATACCTTCCACCAATGCACCAGCACAAAGAAAAAGGGCATCATGTCATCCTTTCATGTAGATACGAGTCTGTGAGCCGCATTAACTGCAGACTTCTTCTTGACATGGCATTAAAATGACAGGAGAACCTAACAGCAAGGAGGAGAGCAGCATGGCTCTCTGCTGCTCAAGAGTGGCCTCTTGAGCGCAAGAGGCCAGGCGGCAGAAGCGGCACGAGTTACATTGAACATGGGCGATGCGCATGGCTCAAGTTACACTGACATGTTCGAGACCCTTCACCTAAAATCATTCGAGTTCAATAACGTACACAAACTTATGGAAACCACCTGAGAATTCACCTGAGAAACTCACCTGAGGATCAGCCAGTTGTCCACGCCACAGCACGTTGTCAACCACCAGGAGACCCCCTGGCCTCAACTGGAAGCAAGACGGACACTCGTATGGAGGATAGAGTGATTGTAAAGAGGGGTGGTATAATCATCAGGATATGTTTTTTGAGACGTCTCAAAAGCACGTTGTCAACCACCAGGAGACCCCCTGGCCTCAACTGGGAGCAAGACGGCCAGGTATTTGGCGGGCGGGCAGCAGAATTTTGAAGAGGGGCAATCCAACCACGGAGATGCTTATGGGGTGTTGACATCATTCGGCATGTGCGGGTTGAATGTGAAAGTTTACCACAACGACGACCATGCATGGAAATGTTTCCATGCATGTGAAGTCCACAGCCAGGTTTTGAGTCCACTCAAAACTCAATGCATGGAAATGTTTCCATGCATGTGAAGTCCACAGCCAGGTTTTGAGTCCACTCAAAACTCCATGCATGGAAATGTTTCCATGCATGTGAAGTCCACAGCCAGGTTTTGAGTCCACTCAAAACTCCATGCATGGAAATGTTTCCATGCATGTGAAGTCCACAGCCAGGTTTTGAGTCCACTCAAAACTCCATGCATGGAAATGTTTCCATGCATGTGAAGTCCACAGCCAGGTTTTGAGTCCACTCAAAACTCCATGCATGGAAATGTTTCCATGCATGTGAAGTCCACAGCCAGGTTTTGAGTCCACTCAAAACTCCATGCATGGAAATGTTTCCATGCATGTGAATTCCACAGCCAGGTCAACACCCTCAGTAGCAGCATGGTAGCATCCCAAAGGGACAATCACGGAAACATTTCCCAGTGTTGACATGGTCATAAGAGCGTGTTCAAGGTGTGAATGGGGAGTCAGTGAGGGAGTGCTACAAATTTCACAAGTTGCAAAAACAAGATAGCTCACGTCTCAAGTAAATTAAGCTGAGGCTCAGCCGCTCAGGTCAAGTAACAAATATACTCAGATTGATGTGGAGGCGTAGTACTAACAAGTATCAAACCAAAGCCGACTCACCAGGGTGAGCAGCAGCTCATAGTATTCTTGGTACATCCGCTTGTCCGCATCCAGAAACGCAAAGTCAAAGCTGCGATCATCCGCGGAAGAATGGGAGGGAGTGGACTGGGTGACTTTGAGACAATTCTCAAGGCATGTTGGGGCAGGGCAGTGACACATGGTGACGGTGGTGGTCGTGGTACTGGTAGTGGTGAAACCTTGACACAGAAAATTGCATTCGGAAAGGCATATCCAAGAAAAGGTCATTCAGAAACAGAAAGACTCGAAACTGGTGGACCCGTGATAATGAAGCCTGGATAATGGACACCAGTTTCATGAGTGTTTGACCATTTGACTCCTCGATGAGAAGAGGCACAGCTTAAGAATTCTCGTCTCATGATGTGAAGTTGGTGGGAAACAGCTATTCCTCTGCTCGCTCACCTGGCTCTGCTCGCTTACCTGCCTCTGCTCTCACCTGCCTGCCTGCCCTTCCTTCAACAGCTGCTGCAGCGTGTCCTGTGCCAGGCCAGGCCGTGGGTCCACTTGGTGCAGTATGGAGGATGAAAGGGGGTGCTGCGGCATGTGCACATGTCACGCACAAGCCACTGTGCTCCATCTCTCTCCTGCCTGCCCACCTCTCACCTGCCCCTCTGCCCACCTCTCACCTGCCCCTCTGCCCGCCTCTCACCCGCCTGCCTGCCCTTCCTTCAACAGCTGCTGCAGCGTGTCCTGTGCCAGGCCAAGCCGTGGGTGTACCTACCTAGAGCGGCATGATGGATGGATGGGGTGCTGCCTATGTGTGCACACATGCCAGCAGCAGGCCACTGTGGTTCTTCTCTCACCTGCCTGCCTGCCCTTCCTGCAACAGCTGCTGCAGCGTGTCCTGTGCCAGGCCAAGCCGTGGGTCTACCTGGTGGTGTGGGGAGGTGCGTGCGAGGGCAGTGGGGAGGAGGGAAGCCAATGCATGTTGGAGCGATGGGAGCGAGAGGGAGTGTGCTGTTGCGCTGGGAGGTGGTGGATGGGAGGGGAGGTGGTGGATGGGAGGGGAGGTGGTGGATGGGAGGGGAGGTGGTGGATGGTAGGGGAGGTGAAGTGCCAATACCTACTCACAAACTTCACAATCGTGTGCGAGCCACCCTTGTTACAATGATTTAAGCCCCTCTCTAAAGTCACACCTTGTGCCTCACTCATTACAGCACCACTCACTAGAGTCACACCTTGTGCCTCACGCCAGCTTTCTCATAGAACCGCTGCGCCACTGCAAATGTGTGCGGCACCCTCTCACACGCCACCAGCAGACCGTCTGGAGGAAGCGCCAGGGCCACTGAGAGGGACGAGTAGCCCTGGTGTGAGGAGGAATGTGGTCCAAGGACACACGGGCAAGAATGTGTGTACGGGGATGGGGGCGGGGGATGAGTCAAACGTGTGCGGCACCCTCTCACACGCCACCAGGAGACAATCTGTGGGTAGAGCGAGCGCCACTGAGAGGGATGAGTAGCCCTGAGAGGAGGACGAGCAAGAATAATCAAGAAAAGACCAGTTGGTGTGGTGCTAAGGGAAATGGGACAAACGTGTGCAGCACCCTCTCACACGCCACCAGCAGACCGCCTGGAGGTAGCGCCGGTGCGACTGAGAGGGAGGAGTATCCCTAGGGAGGGGAGGAGGACGGGTGAGTGTGTGTGGTGCAGGGGAGGTCGGAGAAATGGTGTAGGTCTGGTGGGACAAACGTGTGCGGCACCCTCGCACACGCCAACAGCAGGCTGTCTGAAGGTCGGTAATGCCAGAGACACAAGGGGGAGGGCGAGAGTGAGCGTGCGTGCGGCACAAAGGCAATGAAACAAGGGTGTGTGGCACCCTCTCAAAGCCACTAGCAGACCGTCAGGAGGTACTGTCAAGGTCACCGAGAGGGAGTAGTAGCCCTGGGGACGCAGGACGGGTGCATGCGAGTGGAAAGTCGAGTTTCGAGTGGACTCAAAACTCGAGTGGAAGGGAGGAAGAGTGAGGGTGACTGAGAGGCGAGAGGGCGGAGTAGCCCTGTAGAAAGTGTTTTTTTAAGACGTCTCAAAAGTAGCCTGCCTGGGGGAAAGAGGACGAATGCATATGAGTGGTGGAAAGGAGGATGGGCAAGCAGGTTTGGTGCAATGGGGGATAGACAAAACCTTACAGCGCACACCTAAGTGAGGGATAAGCAAGAGAGAGCCATGGAGCAGGGAGGAAGAGGAGGGGGGAGGAAGAGGAGGGGGGAGGAAGAGGAGGGGGGAGGAAGAGGAGGGGGGAGGAAGAGGAGGGGGGAGGAAGAGGAGGGGGGAGGAAGAGGAGGGGGGAGGAAGAGGAGGGGGGAGGAAGAGGAGGGGGGAGGAAGAGGAGGGGGGAGGAAGAGGAGGGGGGAGGAAGAGGAGGGGGGAGGAAGAGGAGGGGGGAGGAAGAGGAGGGGGGAGGAAGAGGAGGGGGGAGGAAGAGGAGGGGGGAGGAAGAGGAGGGGGGAGGAAGAGGAGGGGGGAGGAAGAGGAGGGGGGAGGAAGAGGAGGGGGGAGGAAGAGGAGGGGGGAGGAGGGATGAGGAGGGAGAATGGGGACGGCCGAAGGGGAAGGAGGGGCGGAATGGGGAATGGAGAAGGGGGAGAGGGGGGCGGAATGGGAGGGGAAAAAGGAGGAAGGAGGCAAAAAAGGGAAGGGGGGAAGGGGGAGGAGGAGGGGGGAAGGGGGAGGAGGAGGGGGGAAGGGGGAGGAGGAAGGGGGGAAGGGGGAGGAGGAAGGGGGGAAGGGGGAGGAGGAAGGGGAAAGGGAAAGCAAAACACTGCAACAATTGCAGCAAGGGGAGCAACAATGTTCCAAACCCTCAAGTTCACAACACGCCCAGCTCTATGAAGCACCATGCTCCCTTACACACAACCCAGTCGCGCCCTGGCAGTTTCTCAGGTGGCTCAACACTGCGACGCTTCTTTGGGCGCCACAAAAACTCTGGAAGAGTTCAACCGACGTACCACATACAGACGCGTCACGCTCACCATGTGCACACCCAGGTCTATGCATTAATGAGTCATCATGCAGCACGCAGCCCTGCAGCACGCAGCACTGCAGCACACCCCACTGCAGCACACCCCACTGCAGCACACCCCACTGCAGCACACCCCACTGCAGCACACCCCACTGCAGCACACCCCACTGCAGCACACCCCACTGCAGCAAGCGGCAGCACTGTAAGGCCTCTCACCATGTACACACCAAGCTCAATGCAACGCCTTGCTCCCATGAGCCGCACCAGCATGGCCAGGAATGCTCCCTGCTCTGGTGACACCTGCAGGGATGATGATGGCAGGGCAGGCAGGCAAACAAGCAGGCGGGCATGCATAAACACAAAGGCATGAGTGCATGTGTGTGCATACCCACACTGCCTGCCTTGCTCCCCTCCCATCAGCCGCACCAACATGGCCAAGAACGCTCCCTGTTCCGGGGACACCTGCAGGGATGATGATGATGGTGGCAGGCAGGCAGGCAGGCAGGCAGGCAGGCATGCATGCAGACGCGCAAGGGCATGAGTGGATGGGTGTGCGCAGCCACACTACCCGCCTTGCTCCCCTCATCCTATGAGACGCACCAGCTGGCCAGGAATGCTCCCTGCTCTGGTGACACCTGCAGGGAAGGTGGTAGAACAGGTAGGTTGGGATGGGATGGGATGGGATGGGATGGGATGGGATGGGATGGGATGGGAGGGGAGCGAGGGACGTGACCCCTCACCTGCATCAGTTTGCCTATCATGGTGGCGATTTCTTTCTCGAGCACAACTTCATTCTTTAAGGGTGCTTATAGCGGGGACAAAACAAGCTTGGTTATTCAACTTATAGCTGGTAGAAGACCACCTCCTTCTTGTATAGGGTATGACATGATTCTTCACCTGCATCTCCTTGCCTATCATGGTGGCGGTTTCTCTCCTCAGCTCGGCTAAAATCTGCACCACATGGGACAGGGCAGGGCAGACAGGGGAACAAGGGCAGCGGACACGGGGAGAGGAGATGAGGAGATGACATGGGGGAGAGACCTGGGGAGATGATATGAGGAGATGACAAGAGGAGATGACACGAGGAGATGACATGAGAAGGTGACACGAGGAAATGACATGAGATGACATGGGAACGGGAGATGGAAAGAGGAGATTGGAAGTACAGTGGGACAAAGGCAGAGGGACAAAGGCAGGGTGCAAGCGTAGTGGGCACGATTAGGGTCAAGAAAGGACGGGATGGAGAGTGCAAAGGTGTGAGAGTGGAAGAGTGTGAGGAGGAGAGTGCAGTGGAGGGGGGACAACCAACAATCTTCTCAGAAGCCCTTCAAAAAGCCTGTTACAGTCACGTCTTATTTGCGCAATATCACCTCTTACAGTCACACCTGTAATACTCACCTCCGGTTCTCGGGTGTGTTCTAGGATGTATTGGTAGACGCGCGTGTCGACTTTAATCACCTCCTTACTCCCGTACGACGGGTCTAGCGCCACGGGGTCTGCTGAGCTGGCAGATGTAGACACGGTCGCTGCTGAGCTGGCAGATGAGCTGGCAGTGATGGATAATCGAGGCACGTGGCATTGAGCCACCACGCGGCTATGGCTACTACGGTTGAGCTTTTTGCCGATCGCGGCTCGGCTTCGAGGGAGGGAGGAGAGGCTGTGACTATGGGAACCGACATGAGTCATTTGGGAAAATACCGCTCCGTTATCATAACAACATACGGGCGAGATCGCACCGCTATTACAGCAAATGCTGGTCGCGCGGCGGCATAGCGCGAGGAGCGTCATGAGACCTACGTCTGCGGAGGCGCTATTGGCTGCTGCGCTGTCTTGGTGATTAACTACTGCTTTACTATGCCGCGGTGTTTCAGGATAACGACGATACGATACCGATCAGACACGGAAGTGGATCGGATCAGGTACGGGAGTGGATCGGATCAGGGTGCTCGCCTGGTGTTGAAAGTGGTTCGGTTCGGTTTGGACGTTCTGTTGGCGTGGGGTGGGTGGGGGTCTACTAGAGGCTGGGAGACCAGGTGAAGGAGAAAAAAGAGCCCCCTAGAAGAGGCCTGGTTTAAGGTTTAAGGTTTTATTGAGGTCGTGACCTGTTTACAAACATGCTAGCAGCCAGATAAGGATACAAGCTATGGCTAGGCTCCCGCCAGGGGAGCACGTGGAAACACGTCATCCTTCCACCACGAAGGGTGGAGGCACCGGTGAAGTGGTGCAAATCCAGCTGACCTGTGGCCAGGTAGTGTTTATGGGGGGCGGAAGGGATCAGTAAGCAGCCAGGTGGCCCTGAAGTCGGGGTGGAGTGCCGGGCAGTTAGGTTCGGGAAAGGTGAATAGCCGATGTCGGATGGCGAGTTTGACCCGTTGTGCTGCCCGGGCTCGCTTCTTTTTTGACCCATTGGATGTGCGCCAGAGCAGGATTTTGAAGGCCAGTAGGAAGAGGTTAAGAACGGTGTGTAGGGCTTCGAATGAATTGTGGGGAGTTTGCCTGTATCTGTGGGTGCAGCGAGAATTCCAGATGACTTTCGCTGCTGCTCCAACCAAAAGACTCCACGGAGCGACCCGTCCTGCTGCAGAGGTCAGAGGAAATAAGGTCAGGGCCGCCGGGGTGGAGATTCCCAAGTGTAGACGGGCGGTTCGTTGAAGCGCAGCAGTAATGGGCTGAGCTACGCCACATTCGAAGAAGAGGTGAGGAAGGTCTTCAATAACTCCTCTATTGCATCCGCCGCAGATGCCCTTGTCAGCTGTGTAGAGGAAGCGTGATCCGGATGGCAGCGCCCGAGAGTATAATCGGAAAAGCACGTCGCGTTGCGAGGAAGGTTGCTCAGAGAGGAAGTCATTCATGTAATCGGGGATAAGGCTTGGTCCAGGGTCCGGAAGTATGTTAATCCAGCGCTGAGCGTGCGGTAGTGGTTGCTGTTGGTAAGCCATGTTCCTAATTGCGGCAAGTGACGGGGCGCCTTCCTGCAGAATCTCTAGTCGTGCCGCGAGTCCCGCTCCCGAGCAGAAGGTGCCACACATCCACCGGTCCGTGACGAGTACCTGCACCGTATCCCGAAAGGAGAGGAGACATCGCGCCTCGGCTTCCTTCGAGATCCTGCCAACTGAGTCGACTGGGTAAGCGGTGGCCTGGAAGGAGTCGGTTGAGAGCACAAAATCTACTTCATAAGCCAGGCGGGGAGGAGAGTGCATTTCCGCCGCCATTAGTACCCAGTCTCCTGGGGACAGGGGAACAAGGCTGTGCGAGGAGGAGAGAGCTGCCCACCACTCGTCCGGCATCGCGTCATAAATTTCCTTGAGAATGCGTCGGCTGCAAGGGTAGTCGCGGGGGGGATACTTAAGCAGGATTTCAGCCTTGGTCATCCGACGTGCGCCTGTGGCATCGCGACGGACAATGTGGCCTATTCGGACTTCCTCGGTAAGCAGGAATGTTTCTTCCTTGAGACGGCCGAAAGGCCGTCCGTTAGGCTTGCAGATGGAGCGGTTGAACGGGGCCGGTTCTGCCAGGATGCACCAAAATTCGGGGCGGGGAGGGAGGATAGTGAGAGAGAGGGAAGTGAGACTCTGGACCTCTTCGCGCAGGCGGGTGGGAACGGAATCGGGGAGGGCCGCAAGGTAGTCCTCGTGAAGCAGGAATCCGTGGAGACCGAAGGGAATGGGCACGAGTTCCCTAGCAACGGCGGCAGAGGGGAGGGGGGGAAAACGCCGCAGTGCTCGTTGGGCATTGAGCGCGAGTATTTGTGTGGAGGGGCGTATTGCCCCGAGCCCGCCATGTTCGATTTTGTTGTATATCGTGTTGTGGGTGAGGAGGCGTGAGGTCCGACCTTCGTCCCTGTATTTGGACGAAGAGAGGAGATTCCCGACGACTGCATCGATGGCATTGATGGCTGGCGTGGGGGGGGGCTGGAATCTGCCTGGGTAGGACAGGGTGGAGTTGAGGAAGATGTTAGAAAGGTTTTTCCGGCAGGAGGACGAGGCATGGAGGTTCGCAAGGAACCTGGCGGACCGCTTGATTTGGGTTTGAGCTCTATCCCAAGTGACCTCCGATCGTCCAGACATGCCAACATAAAGTCCCAGGATTCGTTCGAACTCGGACTCTCCTCGTATGGGGATGGCGCCTGCATAGGTTATAGATGAGGGAGGAATGTTAAATGGGATGATGGCACATTTAGCCCAGCTCGGATATTCCCCTGAAACCGCGGCGAAGGAGAGGAGGACGTGGGAGGCCGTCTGAAGCTCTGAGTCCGAGTTGAGAAATATGGTCACGTCGTCGGCGTAACATGCCATCAGGCGTCGTTGGGTGCGGGAAATAGGGAAGCCAGGGAGGAAGTGGGTGGAGTAGCGATGGAACACTTCAATGACGCAGAGGAATAGGAGGGGGGCTAAGGGACAGCCTTGACGGACGCCAGAGCGGACGGGGATGTCTGGCCCACACAAGTTGTTTACGGAGATCCTGGTAGTGGTGTTTGTGTGCATAAGTCGTACCCAATTGAGGAAAGGGGGGGGGAGGCCGATGAATGCAAGGCATGAAAGCAGGAATTCCCGATCGACTAAATCGTAGGCTTTGCGGATATCTACCGTCAGGGCGAGTAGGGGGATGTTCTGAGTGGCGGCCCAGTCGAAAACATCGAGAGTGTCATTGAGTGTATCGCCTATTTTCCTGGATTTGATAAACGCAGCCTGAGAATGATGTATGAGGGAAGGGAGCAGGGGTTGGAGACGGGAGGCAAGGCAGATGGCGAGGATTTTGTAATCGGAATTTTTTAGCGTGATCGGCCTAAGATTGTCGAGGACGGTGGAATCTCCCTTCTTGGGAATAAGCACCGTTCGTCCTTGCAGCATGGTGGGGGGGAGGGAGGATGAGGAGGCTAGAAGCAGGGAGTGGATAGCGGGAGTGAAATTAGTTCTGAAGGTGCGGAATAGCTCGCCCGGCAGCCCATCCGGCCCGGGGGTCTTCCCCCGGGGGAGCTTGGTGATGGCATTGGAGATCTCCTCCATGGAGAAGGGGAGTGCGAGGCGTGCGGTGATATTTGGGGGGGTGTGGGAGGGGGGGACATGGGACCAGAAGCTGTCGTCAGGGCGCACGGGGCGGGAGGCGCTATAAAGGTCCTGGAAGAAGGAGGTGCACAAGGCGCTCATTGCGGGAAGATCCGAAATGAGTTCGCCAGAGGGGGATTGGAGAGAGGTTACCAGGGAGGCTTTAATACGTGAGTTAAGGCCAACCAGTAGGGAGGAGATGCCCATCTCGCGGGGGCCTTCGACCTTTAGCTTTGCCTTGAGGGCTATGTCGGCAGCGCGGGAAGCTTCATACTGGTCGAATCGTTGGGAAGCGACACGCAACTGTTCGGTGAGTTCTGCGTCAGTGGGGTTGACCGCTCGGGCGATTCGGAGGTGGCTAACCAAGTTCTGCAGATGATCTGATGTCTTTTTGATACGAATCTTTTCCTGTCTGCCGAATGCTTTGAGTTGGTTGCACAGGGCTAGCTTCCAGGCATCCCAACTGTGGCCGGTAAGGTTGGAAGGGAGGGATTGGCAAGCCGAGGAGACAATCTGGCCTGTGTGGGGGCGTCGAAGGAGAGAATGAGGAAGCCGCCAGGGTCTGGGAGCGAGGTTAGGGGCGTCGCACTGGATAATGCAGGAGGGGGCGAGGTCATGATCAGTGAGTTCTTTGGAGGCAGATGCGTACTCGGCATCTATAATCCGCGATTTAAGATGCTCCGAAACGTAAATGCGGTCCAGGCCTGAGGCGGTGGGGGGGGAGTCTCCTTGCAAGATGCGGGGAAGTGCGAAGAAGGAGAACATAGGCTTGGTTGGGTAGATGAGACGGAAAGTGTCAATTAAAGAGTGTTGCTGGAGAGCCGTGGCTAGGAGAGCTCCTTCCGAGGTTTCATGCGCTAGGGGGGGCCTATTGCGGTCCTCGGCTGCGCAAACGGCATTGAAGTCGCCTGCCACGATTGTGCCGCTCGAGGAGGTGGGACTCTCTAGTGCAGACAGGAAGAGCGATCTCCACCAAGGGCGTCTGAGAGAGGGTGTGGAGGGAGCGTAGATGGCGATAAGGCGAAGCTGTTCGCCGAGAAAGTTGATGTGCAGGGAGAGGATCCGTCCGTCAAGGGAAGGGGATTGCGAAGAGATGGAGACTTGACTGTTGAAGACAAGGACAGCGATACCCCCTGGTTTATTCCGGTTAATAAAAGGATAAGGGCATTGCGCATATGAGGAAGGTTTAAGCGACATCATAAGCCTTTGAAAGTTGAGAGTGAGTCTGGTGTCTATAAGGATAAGAATATCGGCCTTAGGATCGCGTTTATTATGCCACCCACGAAGGTCACTGATTTTTTGTTGCTTGTTAATCCCGTTAACATTGATGCATCGGATCGTTAGGGGAATTAACATTGATCACCGATTTGGACCCCCACATGCGGTGGCATGTGCATCCACGGGGTAAGAGGGAGGGACAGGTGCAGGAGGGGAGAAGAATACGATGGTGCGGCAGCCTTCCTTAAACGGTTATATGGCAGTACAAGGGGACAGGGAAGGGTATGCCTAAGCATATTGTGAAAAGGAGAACATGGCCACAGCATAACTTCTGGCCGGCCGCCCAGCGGCATGGCTACTGCAATAGAGCCTTGATACGGTGATGCTTCACCACGGCTTCGGCCTTCCAGGCCCCGTACTTGTCCTTGGTGGCGTTCAGGTGAGCAGGGTCCTGCAGCTTGGTGCGGTGGGAGTCGGAGTTGATGTGGAACATCGCGCTGTCGAGCGCGATGCCACACTCGAAGTCGCAGACCGAGCAGGCCCAAACCTCCACATCGAGATCCAGCCCAATGAGGAGCAGGCCGGGATCTTGTTTGAAGGCAGCCGTAGCAGCGTTCTGGCCAAGGAGCTTCCCTGAGGAAAAGGAGGGCAGGGAAACAGAAAACAGAACCAGGGGGGAGAGAGGAAGGGGAGTAAGCGTGGCCAGAGCCGGTTGATAGCCACGACGGCAGCGTGTCGAGCAAAGCAAGGACCCTTCTCTTGGGGGGCGTGCTAAAAACCAGAGACGAGTGAAGTGGGGGGGGGGGCAACCTATTGGAAGGCAGGTTCAGCATGTAGGGGTGGCAGGAAGGAGACAAGGACAGCAGGGTCAGGGGGGAAGAGGTACCGTTAACCGCCTGGAGAGCGGACATGGTGATGGACTGCCTGTTGGCGACACGGTTGCGTCGGGTGATGGCGAAGCAGGCGTGGTCAGCGAGCCGATGGTTGCTTGAGCACAGGGAACACGAATGGCTGGAAATGTTGAGGAAGGCAGGTTCCACCTGGTCCGGAATCCAGAGGATAGCCGAGATTCGCTCGAAGGAAGGGTCGCCCTCCGCCGCGACAGGGAGGCCGAGCATCTGCGAGTACGCCGAGCCGTCATAGGGGTCTTTGAGCCGGTGAAAGTGCAGGAGGTCCGCCAGCCAGGGCAGCTTGTCCTCGGTTTGGCCGGAAAGCAAGGAGGCGCGCAGGTCCTCAGCCAAGACGCCGAGCGGCACGTTCCGCACCACCACATGCGTATCCCCGCGGGCTTTGGCAGCCGAGAAGTCAGGGAAAGGATCGATGTAGATCTCGACTTCGATCGGGCGGCTGTTGTGAATCCGCACCAGGAAGGGGTTCGCAAACAGCCCGCGGAAGGTGCGAGCATCAGCAGCGGAGGCCCAGGAGTAGATGTGGCGGAGGTAAGTCCGCCGCGGCAGGCGCAGCGGCTCACCCGAGGCCGCGTCAAACTGCGGGATGGCGCCGTTGAAGGCCGCCGGACCGGGAAGGGCAGCAGCGATCCGGGCGAGGATACTCTCCCGAACCTCCTCGGAGCATTCCGGAAACATTACTGCTACCAGCGACTGCGTGTTGCGCGCCAGCGACCGGAGCTCGGTTCCCACCGAGGGGCGGTGACGACGAAGATTACGAAACCGCACCGAGAGGGGCAGGTTGGGAGCGGAACCGGAGGGAGGCTACTCAGCCGTGGTCTCCTGGGCCGGGGGCTGAGGGCGAGAGGGCGGAGCAGACCTCGGCCTCGGAGGGGCCGTCGGACGAGAAGACGAAGGAGCCGTAGCCACGGAGCTATCAGAGGAATTAGAACGCCGCATCGGCTGGGACACCGCCGGCGTGGCAGTAGGTGCACCTGGTCCGGCAGCACCAGAGGAGGTCCCCTCGCCGCACTGCTTCTTAGCAGCGGGCTCTCCGTTAAGCTCCGGCAGGGCGCCGTCAGGAAGGTCCTCGAGCACATAATCACCAAGATCGGTGATCGTGTCCTCCTAGAAGAGGCCTGGGAGTTGTACTGTACTCGCCTAATTATGCCGCACTCACAACTAACGGCGCCACGTCAGCGCACCGCAGGGGACAGTAGCACCCGTCAGCTTTGCGGCGGAGGCTATGCTATAACGAAGCAGGAATGAAAAGACCTGCGTTGCTCTACAGTTTGCAGCGCAAAACTTCGATATACAGTTCCAGGTGAAATTTGGAAATCCTCGCTTAAGGCATCAGCCCTAAAAGAACCTAGATCATTCGAGCGAAGTGTATGAAACTTTGCAGCAGCCAAATCCGTCGACCACATCACGCTAGTAGAATAATCTCAATATGAACCTAGATTTACAAGCACATAGGTAGGAATTGCGTCGCATCGCACTTAGATTCTAGAAGCAGAGTCCTGCGGAGTGCAGTCTAGGCCAATTCGACGATACAGTACGGTTTCGGGATTCTCCTGAGTTCATTGGCAAGAGAAACCGGTTTGGGCCCAGGCGCCTGTTGTCGCAGCTGGGAATATCAAAACGATTGTTAGATCCGACGCTGGTTATGTGACAAAAGCCCTACCACGAGGCGTGGGACTTACTGAACAATTGGCACAGACCAGTGATTAGCTCTAAAATCTGTCGACGACTTTGGACTTGCATTTAAATTTCAGATGCAGTCTTAAAACTGCTCTACGCCGCGTGTTGTAGATTGTGCGCACCGCAGATAACGGTTTCAAGTTGAAATGGATAGCGACACTCTAAGCAGAAAGGGAGCTGACGTGGAACCAATGATCCACAGCCGAGACACGTCAGCACAGCTTGCACAGAACAACGGCGACACGGCGCGGCTGGTGTACCAGCTCGGCCTGCAGATGCTGCTCAGCGGCGATCCTATCAAGGCCGCGCGATGCTTTCAGGAGGTTTCGCGCGTCTTCTATGACTGGCCGCTGCTGTGGCTGCGGCTAGCGGAGTGCTGCATTCTCACCCACCAGCAGCAGCAGCAGGAGGTGCAGGGAGATTATCGTCAAAAGCAGCAAGAGAAGTAGGAAGATAATCAAAAGCAGCAGAGCTCACTTAGGTCCAGCAGCATGACGGTGATTGTGATGAGTGGCGGAAGGAACGAGGACACGTGGCAGTATGTCCTGCTGCCAGGTGGAAAGCGCAGCGACGGATCCGAAGTCAAGTCAGAAACAGGGATCCACGATACCTGGACTCCTGGAGGACATCGTGTGGCGATCCTCACGTGCTCCAAGACTGGCCGCCACCTGGCCACGTTCACTCGTGAGCCTGGGTCCAGTCTGTACACCCTCACCACTGTTTCGGGCTACACCCCTTTGTCTCCCGAGCTGTACGCGTCTGCTGAGGTAGCTACCCAGTGTGAGTGTCGCAGCCTGTCGCACGACACTCTCCTGTGGCACCAACGCCTTGGTCACCCCTCCCTGCCCCGCCTTCGTGGCATGCACTCTCGCTCCCTGGTCTCTGGTCTTCCCAGGTCTCTGCCTGCCCTCCCTCCCTCGCTTGTGCCGCCCTGCATTCCTTGCGTCGAGGGGCGGCAGCGCGCCACCCCTCACTCCTCCTCGTTCCCTCCCACAGAGGCTCCTCTGCAGACACTTCACCTGGACGTGTGGGACCCAGCCCGCGTCCAGGGGCAGGGCCGTGAGCGGTACTTCCTGCTGGTCGTCGACGACTACACGCGTTACACCACGGTCTTCCCCTTGCGCAGCAAGGGTCAGGTCCCTAATGTTATGATCCCCTGGATCCGTGCTGTTTGTCTCCAGCTCCGCGAGCGGTTCGAGTTAGACTTTCCTGTCCTGCGTCTGCACTCTGACAGAGGTGGTGAGTTCACCTCCAACCTCTTGCGAGCCTTCTGTGAGGAGCACGGCATCCTCCAGACGTACACGCTTCCGGCCTCTCCGCAGCAGAATGGGGTTGCTGAGCGCCGCATTGGCTTAGTCATGGAGGTCGCTCGCACCTCCATGGTCCATGCGGCTGCCCCCCATTTTCTGTGGCCGTTTGCCGTCCGCTACGCCGCGCATCAGCTCAACCTCTGGCACCGTGTCTCCTTGCCGGAGACCTCGCCCACACTGCGGTGGACGGGGAAGGTTGGCGATGCGTCGGTGTTCCGGGTCTGTGGTTCTCGTGCCTTTGTCCGCGATACCACCGTGGACAAGCTCTCCGCCCGCGCTGCTCCTTCAGGTGTGGTAGACCCTCCTCCCTTGACTGCGCCGGTTGAGGTCACTGGTGACTCAGGTCCTGCTGAGGGTTGTCCTGCTCGGGGTGCTGAGCCTGGGGGTGCGGAGCCTGGGGGTGCTGGTCCTGGGGGTGCGGAGCCAGGAGGTGCTGAGCCTGGGCGTGAGGAGTCTGGGGGTGCTGAGCTTGGGGGTGCTGAGTCTGGGGGTGCTGCACCTGGGGAACGAGAGTGGCAGCAGCAGTAGCAGCTCCTCTTGCAGCTAGAACTTGCTGTATCTCTTCCTCAGTAGATTACCGAATTGATACTCGCACCTCCCCACTGCTGCGTAACAAGTGGGAACAACAGGAGGAAATTAAGAGATGAGGGAAAGGGATTAGCGGCGAGCACCTCCTGTTTGCAACGCAGGAAAAGTAAGCAGCCATGAAAAGGATCAAGAAAGTCTGAGTAAAAAATAAAATAAAAAATAAAAATAAAATCTAAATCTGGTTTTTACCTGTATGATGTTGCACATCCGAATCAATCATGCACTCACGTCTGTGTGAACTTGATCGCGTTGGACACGAGGTTCAGAATAATTTGCCGCAGCCTCCCTGGATCTCCTCGAATGAAGCAAGGCACGTCTGAGTTGATGTGGCTGTCCAGCTGTCGGGAAAGAGGGGCAGGATGGGGGAGGGGGGAAGATGGTGTGGAGAGAGAGGAGGGAGAGAGGGATACGGAGGGAGGAGGGGAACAGGTCAGAGGTGGGAAGGTTGCACGAGCTGCTGGAGCTGGGGGCCCTGCTACGGGAGGCGCTGGTGTTGGAGGCACTGGAGCCGGCACTGTCCCTCTCTCCCCACAGTAGCTGCGTGAGTGGTACGTTAGCCGTCAGGGTCGCGCTGCTGGAGCTAGGGGCCCTGCTGCGGGAGGCGCTGGAGCTAGTGACTCTGCTACTGGAGTTGTTTCTACTCGAGTTCCTGGGGCAGCTGGTCCCGGAGGTGCTCGTACTGGAGGTACTGGAGCTGCTGGGGCTGGAGGTCCTGCTGGACCTGGAGGTGATGCTGTTGACTCTGAGGCTGGAGGCCCTGGAGCTGGGGGTGCCAGTTCTGGGGGTGCTACTACTGGTGGCGCTGGAGCTGGAGGTTCTGGAGATGCTGCGGGTGCTGGCGCTGGAGGTTCTGGCGCTGTTGGAGGTGCTGGCGCTGGTGGCGCTGGAGCTGGAGGTTCTGGAGCTGCTGCGGGTGCTGGTGCTAGAGGTTCTGGAGCTTTTGGAGGTGCTTGCGCTCGTGGCGCCGGAGCTGGAGGTTCTGGAGCTGCTGCGGGTGCTGGCGCTGGAGGTTCTGGAGCTGTTGGAGGTGCTGGCGCTGGTGGCGCCGGAGCTGGAGGTTCTGGAGCTGCTGCGAATGCTGGCGCTAGAGGTTCTTGAGCTGCAAGAGGTGCTGGAGCTACTGGTGCTGGTGGCGCTGCGCCGCCGCGACTGTTCTTCGCTCCGCCGTCACCTTCGTCTCTGCCACCGCCTGGCTCCGTGCTTCGCCAGGTTCTTAGCCTCCCGTCTTGTACTGGTCTTCCGTTACAGCCTGGCTCACCGCTGCCTGCTCCTTCTCCTTACACTGAGCTGACAGGCGGTCTTGCTGAGCGTCGTGAGCCTGCGTCTCGTCTTGTCTCGCCTGTTCGCACTGTCCGCACTGGTCGTACTGGTCGTCGTGTTCCTCGTTAGCGTCCGCCGGCTATCCCCGGCACACACCTCATGGCCCTGCGTCCTTCCTCTGCTCCGCAGCGTGTTCCCCTGCCGTCCCCGCCTGCGTCTTCTCTGCCTGACGTTCCAGAGCCTGAGTTTGACCGCGCTCGTGCTGCTCACCCTACTGTCACGCGTCTGCTAGCCACAGTTGTCACTCACCCGTCGTTTGAGTCTGCTGCTGCGTCTGCCGTAGTCGCTGAGCTTGTTGACTTTGCTGCTGCCTGTCGTCTAGACTACACCGCTAGTCTTGTTGCTGAGTCTGAGTCTGTCAATCCTCCGTCCGTCGGGGGTGAGTGTGCTCTTGGCACGGACGTCCTTGAGGACACGCAGGAGGACCTTGAGTGTCTTGCAGCCGCTGCGCCTCATCTCGTGGCCATGCTGCTTGCCCCTGAGGGAGACCCGGATGCTCCAGACATCCCTTCCCCGCGCTCTTACGCTGAGGCGATCGCGGGTGAGTACTCCTCTTGTCAAACATTATATGTTTATATTGTGTAGGCTATAGTGGGTTTAGCCTTAGGGGGTACAACTTTGCTATGGTTGCCTACTTGTATCCCCATCATTCCTAGTTTCATCATTCTCGTTCTATTCTAGATTCTAACATGGTATCACGAGCCTAGGTTGCTACCTAGGACCGCTTTCTACTACGGGCCCACTATTCCGCTAGAAGCGCCCTCGTGCGCCCTACCTTAC